ACAAAATACAACTCACTGCAATTTACTGTATATCCTATGGCACACCTTGAATATGAAACACACTAAATCCAAATGTAAGTATTATTCTTGTGTGACGTGATTAAACAGGCTCAAATGATCAAGCTCAGATTAACCCTTTCCTCAGTCTCTGTGAAATGAAGACTGAAATATATCAGCATTCACACCAACTCTTTTTCCAGTTTAACAGTAAACTTTTAATTGATTGTTTAAATATTTATGTTTAGATACAGTGGAAGCCGTTTAACCTGAACACATCGGGTGTGGCCCGTTTGTCCGGTTTCAGCGGCGTCTGAGGTTAATTGTAGTTCTCTTATCTCTTCCAATCCAGTGAAGGAACGGAGGCACCACCTCCCTCCCATTGCCGTTCCCATCGGCCAGGAGGGGGACTAGTTAGAGGCGGTTCGGAGCTGATCCACAGCCTGAAGCCACTTTTGAATGGATGGGCACTCAACCCAGTCAATCAATCAAGATTTGACTCCCATTCCCTTCCTTGTTTCTTCCTATTCCTCCGCCCCCTCACTGATTGCCAGTTCCAAGTCGCCTGTGAATGGCTGGAGTCTGCTGTCAATCAATCACAATTTGACTCCTCCCATCTCCATCCTGGAACCCCTTGTGACTGAATGGAACAGAAGTGAGTCGACACCAATGGCGTCCAGAGCGGCATTTTTTCTAGATTAACTGGATTTCATCTGAATTAACAGGCAGATTTAAAACAGGTGAATGATTCATTCAAATGAATCAGGGCTGGGTGTTTTGTCCAAATTACCCAGTGTCTGGGGCTAACCGGCAACCAAAGAAAGAGGCTTACACTGTATATTGATCTGTACATACATAGATTTTAAAAGTAGTAAATCAAAGAATGAAACAAAATAGCAAAAATATTAGCTTCACTAACAATTTGTTTTGCTAAGGAAAATGGGATAGAAAACAATCAGGTCAGATGTCCTCTCTCTCTCTCTCTCTCTCCTCGAGGTTTTGAGGCACACCAGGCAAAACTTTCATCTAAGCGTTTCAGGGAAGTTTCAAATGACTCCTTCAATTCAAGATGTGAAAGCACTTGGCCTTTGTCTTGGGTACAGTTGAGCATGGAACATCTTACGACTTTAGCAGATTAAGTGTGAGAAATTTGGAAAACAATTTTTTCTAAACTTCTTTCAAAAGGAATGGAGCCCTGCTGTTAACTGCATACATTGTTCTGAAATACTTACAGCCAGGCTTGACAGCTTTCTGATGTTAAAATATTTTCACATTGGGATTGTGCTCATGTTGCTATCTCAACAGGGTCTCCCACTACTCACATTCTCACGGTCAATATGCATTGATTGGCATCTGTTTCTTAAAAGTAGTAAAATATCCCATATGGTGACAAAATCATAGTCTGTCCAGTACAGTGCTGGGCGAGTGTTTAATCGTTAGAGATACTGTCTTTCAATGAGACGTTATACCAAGGTCCCAACTGCCAGTGGATGTCAAAGATCCCACGGCAATATTCAAAAAGGGGAGTTTCTCGAACATCAACCCTCCAGATTAATCGCCATTCACTTCATAGTGGACTGACACGAATGGTGCCCTGTCTCAGCCACTTCATTTGACAGTGATGGCTTGAACAGTACTTTTGAGATATTCCAAAGTGACAAAATGCTATAAATTAAATGTTATGAATATAAAAAAACATTCATTTCAAAACAATTTATTCTGGTGCAAAAATGTTGCTTCAATCTTCAATGTGTTAATATTTACACAATACTCAAACACCACACCCATTACCCCATTCATTTTTGCTGCCCTTAGTCTCATTGGTCTTGTATACAAAGCGAATCTAATAATTTATTATGTACAGATAATGTGTTCAAGTTTTTAAATTTTACAATCTGCAGTACTTGAAAAGTGCAAAACGTCCCACCTTTCAATGACCACACTATACATATAAAACAATCAGAAAAATGTACAAACAATGAAGTGAGCTGTTAAATGATAGAACAAGCTAAAACCGTCAGGAGCATCACCTCTAGGGCACTGCACAGAACAGTGGCTGGAAACATGCAGCAGATGTATAAAGCACAACCAGTAATAACAATATTTTACATAGTAAACTTGCACAAATTAGGGGAAAAATGAACTTTGAAAGCACACATTTGGCATAAAATACCCCTCTCCCACAAAAAAAAGAAATGCACACAAGAAAAAAAATCCATCGGTAAAACTTAAAAAAGGAATTTTTGGGAAAAAAATCTATCATATTTTCTGAATATTATATTGCCATATTAATTATATTGCCTTGAATAGTTTCTTAAAATACATTTACAGCTTTGATAAATCGATAAAAACTATGAAACAGTTAACACCCTACTATTCCCCGTACATTCTAATAGAAACTGAGTCAGTATCAGACACGTTAGTTCAGATTACAATTTGTTGCTTTATAGATCAGATTTGGTTTTGAGTTGTGTCACAATTTGTTGTCAGTATTTAAATAAAAGAAATACCCCAAACTGGATTGTAATGTTCAATGCGATCCACACCTTAAAAGTATTTATTGTATATTTTCAGCTGGATGAAGTAAACTTAACACAACCTCCTGCTATTAAAATGCCATAAATTTGGCCCCAAGAAGCTTGATTTTACATCCTCAACTATATGAACCCACTTTGAGAAATGCCACTTTCAGGGCATCAGTTCCTGTAGATTTACAGGAATCCATCATATAAACATGAACTCATTAACTGCTCATATCACCATTGCAATCCAAACCTATGTCATGTTATGATTCCAGATGCACAAACAAACAGGATGTGGATGTCACCGGTGGGGAACTCGTTACAATGGCAGTTGCATTTACTTGCTCAGGCAATGAAAGGGAGATGCTTTACTCACCGTTGGCACATTTCCATTGTGGCCTTACTCAAGCCTTTCAAGCAACAAATCAATGGGTTGACCCAACCACAAGAATCAAAACATTACAGAGATTATTCTTAGATAGCTTTTGAGCCCATTTTATACACGGTAGATGAAATCGAAAGATAGCGACACAGGGCGGTGAGTGGATTAGGTAACTACCTTCTTGTAGTTAAGGATTTCAGTGGAAACATCAGTGACTTCAAAAATTCTTCCTAATAATCTATTAAATAAATTTCATAAACAAAATTGCAATGTAATCAAAGTCTATCATTTTAGATAGGAAATGGTGTTCAGTTATGAATGAAAACAGTTATCACATTTACTTTCCAGCTGTATTGAGGTGAGAACAGTGGGAATGCCGTTTAAGGAAATGCATTAGTATTGCACACATTGCACTCTAAATAGTATATAACACGTACATAACGGTATACAAAGATGGCCACCCCGGATTTTCAAATGAAGGGATTGCCTGATGGCAATGCAAGGGAAAGTGGCAGAATTCCAAATCAGGATCATCCCTAGTTTCTAGGTGGGGTAATGAACAGAGAAATGCATAAAGGACTGAAACTCCCAATCAAATTGAGATAGCTTTTTTTTAAAAAAAACATTTTAAAATGGCGATGTATTTTTCATTCTGATTGCAAAAAAGTTCCTCTTGAATAAGAGTACAGCTGGCATCTCTGCCATTTCAGATTCAGGCAAAAGGATGGCATCATTGTTCTGTAACGAATGACTACCTTTTCCTGGATCAACACAGGAAAGCCCATTCATTGAATCTCTAACTGACCGCAGCACTTACATTTCAGAACAGAAAGCGGAGTAAGCAGTTGGTATGTTTCAAACACAAAAGGTCTAAGTCCTCCTCTACTCCAAATACAACAAATCAGATACTGAATAGTGCAAACTTGCAGTGCTCATGAATTCTCATTCACATGAATTTCATCTTCCGGCTTTGAGATGGAAAGGCTGCCAACCTTTTCTGTAGGTTCTCCCTGTGGGTTGCGATACATCAGGAGAAGGTATGACTTGTGTTTAAACTTACACTTTCTCTCGTGCTTTCTACCCCTCCAAAGGCTAGCTATTTCACACAATCCTTTTCCATATGTCAACCTATGGAGGGCTCCAAAAATGCCATTCGCCAAAGTCTAGCAATTATGCTTGGGTACTGACCAGCATGAAAACATTCTCAGCTCTGATGGGCCAGTGGGCAAACCACAGTCACCAAAACTAGCAGAATTTCATTCTGCATTAAGAATTGAATGGTGGTGGTGGGAGGGAATGAGAAGGAAAATAAATCAGATACAAATCAGCTACAAAACCTCTAGTAGTTTCCTTCCTCTAGCAGCTATGAAAGCGATTTACATTTCAGGTAAACTAGTAATTTGAAGGAAAAAATCTTATGTTTAAATAAGTTCGATTTCTATAAATTATGCTTAGAATATAAAGTGCACATAGAAACAACAGTACATGCGAGAAAAAGCCCAACTCATTCAGATTTGTATAATGATATAGACTGCTACAAGTGAGATTCCTGCTACACAATGAATTAAAACATTATATCACTGTGAACTAGCATTCTCAATTTCTAATGATTTAAAAGGTTTTGTGGGGGAGAAGGAGCAAACCATGTGACGATATGGGTTTACTGTAACATTCCAGGTGTGTGGCAATTGAGGCCTTTATTTCTCCCATTCTGAGGTGAAGCTATTGCAAGGAATAAAACAGACACTGTTATCACCTGAGCTTTTAACATCCACACCCTGGTAGTTAGTGTCTTACCGTCTTTTAGAGGTACACAATGAAACCGTGCGCTTTCTCTTCTCAAGAAAAGCAGGTGAGATGAACTATTCAAGCATCGGTTAAGTATATAGCATCAGCAGGTAACCACTGCCCTCGAGGATTCCAAGACAATCATAAAGCTGGGACATTTAAAAATAAGATGTCAACATACTTGATTCAACACCTTGGGATGTTCTCCCGAGTGAAAGGTGCAGTGTAAATGCAATTTGTTGTTGATCCTTTTTTTAAAAATGGTCCTCAAAATGCTGGGGTGGGCAAGTTTAAAAAAAAGAAAATCAGCAAGATAAAAACATTTTGATATTTAAAAAAAACGCAACCAACTCTGTTTTTTTGGGGTACAATTTGGGTCCATCATCTCCACCTTAGGAGAAAATCTCCAGAGGAAAAGTCCCATTGAAACACAATGTCTTACATGATCAGAAATCAACATGCAGATTTGCTGCATAGCTTCATTTAGGTAGCAATCCGAGACAAAAACCAAAAACAAAAGAAACCAAAAACAAAAGAAGAAAAAATGGCTAGTGAGCCGCAGGCTTTCCCTTCACTCCTCCAGTTCCATCACTTGGGTTGGGTTTGAGGATGGTATTCCGTCTCCCCGGATGAGATCTGATTCAGACGCTTGCTCGAACCCCAGAGTTTCCTGGAAATTTGCCCTGAACGCATCTGTCCCATGAAAGAAAGAGAAAGCAGAAAAAGGTCATCAATTTAGAGAATGAAGACCAATTTCTCTGTGAGCTAGAAATAAAGAGTTGGTTGGGAGTAATACAGCTCAAAATTATTCTGGTTTGCCCCTCTGTGTCCAACTGAGTGTTTTCAAAAATAAAATGATTTAGCCCAATGTAAAAAATGTTTCTTGAAATGTCTTGGAAGGTCAAATCTACACCCTCAGATTTCTTGTTTGGTTCTCACAGTGAAAGCAAGTCTATTACCCTGCTACTCCATAATGAGCTTTGTGATTTAATAATAATAATCCTTGCATTTGATATAGCGCTTTTTCACGTCTTCTCGACGTCTCAAAGCACTTGCCAGAATAGACTGTAAAGTGAATTGGCCGTATATTTGTGGGCGATTTGAATGGACAGGATACCCCTTTTCAGTTTCCATGAAATTAAAAGACCAAAGCAGGTTTAACTTTAACTCATTTTCTATGCTTCTCTCCTAAAGGTGATGCCTCATGCAAAGTGTTGCCTTCTATTCCTCTCTTACATGTCCATTCATTTGGAAGTCTTGAGCCAAATCATACATCACAACCGAGACAAGTCCTGCCATGACACAACTTCACACATGCCTTCCAAAAGAGCTAATTGGATGGAAATCAAAAAGATCTGGATATTTCCTGTCCCTTGACCACAGATGCCAAGACAAAAACTACCACCTCAACTGAAATCAGCTCACTCAGCATAGTCACTGAGCCGCCGGCGAGACCAGACTGAATGATTCTTTGCAAAAAAAAATTGTCTGCATCCCAGAGAATATCTCGAGTCTGCTGAATGTGAAATGTGTAAAGTGTTTACAAAAGACATTTCTATTTGAAACAAAAACATTAAATTCCTTTCATTTTACTGCCCAAATGTAACCAATGGGTTGGGAATGAATAAGGGAAATTCACAACCTGTGAAGAGGATTCCTGTGCAACAAGTGAAATTCCAGACGATTCAAACTTTCTATCCTCATTTTAAAATGATGGGAAGAGCTCCTGCAATTGACTGGAGATTGAAGGGTACTTCGAGATAGAGAGCTGCAACACCAAAGCTAATTTTTCACTTAACAATATGCCAAATTTCCAGCAAATTCTTTCTTGTAAACACACAGGGACTGTCATTTCGAAAGGCAATTGTATATCATAATATATTGATATACTGGAATGAGATCTCCACTCTCTACTTACTGACCTGGCCTAAGATGTAAGAAAAACACATTATTCCTTTAAAATTGATTCTAATCCTATCAGCTTTCAAACTTTTTGGTAACAAAAAAATATAGATTTTGTTCTCTTAACAATCAAGTGCCTGTTACAGTGTTCCGAGATGTTATCCTAAGTGAATGGCGCTATATTATAAATACGCAATATTGTTGTTTGTGTCTTCTTTATAGCAGAGTGAAGGCACCCAAATATTTTCCATCAAGAGAAATGTATTTTTTATAGAAAACATTTTAAAATTAGATGTTCTAGTTCTGATAACACACAAATGGATTTTTAATAAACTGAACAACTAGCTATCTAAAGGGCCTGTCCTCTCCATGTTACTGATATTTCTTTCCTTATGAATTTCTTCATGCCTCTTGCTCTTTCCTCATTACTGCTTCTTTTCCTCCTCAAACAAAGAAGGGAGCATCCAAGTCCCAACCATCCTCAACCCTCATAGCTGAAATCTAGTTTCTTTGGCATCACAATCTGGAACATGCTGCACTGCTGTAAGGGCTGTCTGGGTGGCTTTAGGCAGAGCTGTGGCAGAAAGAGGAGACGGGTACTCTCCACTGCCTGGTACACACAGTTCATGACCACAGATTTTACCTCAGCTGGCTTCCCCACTCCCACGATGATCAGCTTGCCATCCTCCAGCCCCACCAGGATGTGGCTGTTCTCTTTTGTGATTGACACGCAGTGGATTGGCAACCGCATTGCCAATGGAGCAGCGCTGAGCTTCAAGCTGAAATGAAGCAATTAAATAATATAAAGCGTTAACCAATAATTACAATCCCCTCTCCATCCGTAAAGGTGGTCACACAAAGCCTATGAAAAACAGCACCTGAGTATTGCATCTTGTCTTGGTCACTATGGTTATTAGTATAGATTAATGCAGTGAAAAGGGTTCAAAGAAGAACCCCTTTAATCAATCAGACAGGAAGAGTGATTCAAAGTACTAAATCTGTGCTCACTGAAAGTATCTGGGAGGAGAAAATAACCAGGTACCGTTTAATACACAAGCAAGGAGAAATAAATTTGTTGTGTTGAAGGAACTAGAAAGGCTCAAGAAACCTTTCATTATCCATAATCGGCAGATTAACTACCTCCAGTTAACGTGTACCTTTCATAGAAAACGGCTTAAAGTGTAGCACTGTGCTGTGTTTCTACTACAGAGGCACAAACAAGAGTGAATTGATACGGGATCTATTCCCTGATGGTTCCTTTAATGTGCTTGGATTTCCCATCAAACAAGCCAAGAAGTTCATGGGGACATTTGTACTCTTCTTAATGGTCTGTGCTTTAAGAATGAAACCTTGATTTCAGAGTACTATTATTAGTACTCACTTGCTGTTCATTGATCTATTGCTGGCAACAATGCTTCTCAATTTGACGGTATAATTTGAGCGCAATTCTCATTTTGGGCATTGAGGTATCTGAAAACTCAGTCAAGTGCAGCATTTCCATCATGTTCTTTGGCCATTTAGCTCAGTTCAACATTTAATGAACTAAAAATGAGCTATTCTCCCATATTTACAGGATTGCAGTGATTCCACCTATTCATTATGAAATCCTACCATATAGATCCCCGTTAAATTCAAGCTTTTTAAGGAATTTATTTGGGCTGAAATGAAGCAGTGCAATATGCCACCTATTGGTGATGAATGTTACTTTTTCCTGGTATATTAATCTCACCTGTATAAGTCTCGTATTGACAGAAATCCTTCCACGCTGCCCAGAACAATTTGTTCTCCACTGACACACAGGTCAGACACCTGCTCCCTTATCATCTCACTCTGTAAGTGCTTCCCGTTCACAGAGTACAAATGTAGAGCATTCTTATCCTGCATAAAAGTGAAAGGATGCCAGTTATTTTGTCAGGAACAAAAGCGCCGTTAAATGTATATCACATCACTGCTCAATCAAGATTCCTCTGTCCAATTATCAGGAGTCTGCATTGGTTCAACAACAACAACGTTACATTTGTATAGAACCTTTCACTTCAGGAGGACGTTCCAAGGCACTGGACAGTCAGTTTTTCGGACCCGAGCTGGGGGTCAGGATTAACATTAACACACAATAACCTTGAAATGGATAGCAGCAAGCAGCTTCAAGGCAATTTAAAAGCTGCAAGCACTTTCCATTCTACCGTATCCAACAGGCACAAGCTTGAAAACAGATTTCTCAGAGAAGGCATTAAGTGTTTCACTGACAAACAACATGCTGGGAATGTGAATGCACTTTCTGAGTCATCACAGGAGGGAGAAGTGTGGCAGCAACAGTTTCTGCTCCTGAACAAATACCATGTAGTTGGTGCACGAACTGTACCTTAAGATTGGATTTTCCTTCTATGATGGTGTTGATAATAATGTGTCCCTCCCATGACATGGCCAAGTTGGGAATTGAAATGGGAAGTGAACTCTCACATGGTGGTCGCAGAGTCCTCATGTACTGTCCTCTCCGAATAGTGTGTATGATCACAGTTCCATCCTGTAAAACACATAATCTGTATTTTGTATGTACAACCAGAGGACCTCCTACCAACTTGTTGGGATGTTAGATTCTTCAGTAATAACAGCTGTTAAACCCACCTTGGAGCCTGAAACAGTCATGTCAAGTTCTGTACTAATAGTGACGCTGGTTATTTCCTCCATGTGGCCATACAAAATCTGCACCGGTTTTGGTGAAAGGCCAACAGGTATTCCTCCCTAATCAAACAGAGATAATCACAATATTATAAGGAGTTCCCTGTTAGAAAGATCACGGGAATTTATATAGGTGCCCTTCAGGTAAAACAACATTTGAAAGCAGCTTGACAAATGCAATACAATTGACAGCACCTTTCACATCAGGAAAATGTCTCAAAGTACTTGATATGCTGGCTGGGCACCTGAACTGAGAGTCAGTACCAAAGGGGGTGTGGAGGGGAAATATGGGGGTAGCCCAGGCACTGCAGAGGAGAGCAACAAGAGAAATCCTCAGTATTAGAGGAATTAGCTATGAGCAATGACTGAATATTTAGGGCTATTCAGTCTTGAGAGAAGATCTTCATAGGGGACGTCATAGAGGTACATAACATTTTAAACAGGATTTAAAATGTAATTCCAGATCAGTACTTTAGGACAGATCATGACAGAACAACAAGGACATAGGTTTAGGAAGGCAGATGTTACTCCTATTTTTACAAAAGGTAGCAAAGTGGCCAGGAAACTACAGAGTGTCTAGAGCACTCGCCTCGCAAGCGAGAGAGAGACCTGGGTTCGATTCCCAGCAGGGCGAAACCTTGGGCAAGTTTCCTTACTCCAAATGCCTGATAATAATCCCTCAAGAAAAAAAACAATAATAATTTGGTCACTCAATCCACGATTGTTTGTGGGACACTGCTGTGTGCAATTGGCTGCCGTGTTTTGCCCACAAATATACAGTCAATTCACTTTACAGTATATTCAGTGAAGCGCTTTGAGACGTCTAGACAATGTGAAAAGCGCTATATCAAATGCAAGGATTATTATTACTATTATTATCTTGTACTGAACAGTAGAACCAGAGGACACGGACTGCGATTGAAGGGGGGTAAATTCAGAACAAATCTGTGGAAACTACTTCAGTGAGCGAGTTGAAATCTTATGGAACAGGCTCCCTAGGGAGACAGTGGAAGCAGAAAATGGTGTTTGTTTCAAGAACAAATTAGATAGATTTCTGCTAGAAAATAATATCTCAGGATACAGTATATAGTTTGGGACTCGACTTGTCAAGCGACTGCCAGGATGGTGAAGGTGAACTAGATAGACCTTGGTCTTCATTCACCTAGCAAATTCTTATGTTCTTATGGCACTGATTCCGCTTGTATTTTTCAATCAATACCCTCATACCTGCTGCAAAATCTGCCAGATCATACATGTTGTGTCACGCGACCCTGATATCAAATGGATGCCACAGTAGTCAGTCGCCAAACAGGTCACAATATCTAATAAACAAAGGAGTCAGAACAAAACAATAAGGAATGATTGAAAACATTCAACCTTCAAGAACTGTTCAAGGAAAGAAAGAATTTAGCTCCCAGTGCTGCCCAGCTTGTAACCAGGTCTCTGTAATGGATACAACATCATACCCTTTAAGCTGAATGTGTGCTACTAACTCACTTGTTAGGTCGGAGAAGTAGAAGGGAGCAAGGCCGTGAATGGCCTTGTAGGTGAGGATGAGGATCTTGAATTCGATCCTCTGGGGGATGGGGAGCCAGTGGAGACGAGCGAGGGTGGGAGTGATGTGGTCGCGAAGCCTGGTGCGGGACAGTACACGAGCTGCAGAGTTCTGAATGACCTGCAGCTTGTGGAGGGAGGTGCCGGGAAGGGCGATGAGGAGAGAGTTCCCATAGTCCAGCCTTGAGGTGATAATGGCATGGACCAGTGTTTCAGCAGTGTGAGGAGTGAAGAACACAACATAGTAATTCGCACAAATACTCATTGTAGCATCAGTGATTAGATGGACATTTCCCTGAGCTACCAGTTGCACAATGGATTGGGAATGACCATTCATCGTAACATCTGCATTATTCTATATCAATGTTGCCCTGTTCATATGTTTACTGGGGCTGGAAAATGTCCCGAAGCCCCGAGACTTCACACAACAGTTACTGCATCACAAGGTGTGCAGAACCCACACTTACCCATGTGTCTGACATGTTGCCCGACAAGCTTGCCCTTTGTAACTGATGTCACACGAACGCTATTATCCCAGTGACCTGCACTGAACAGCAGTTTCCCATCATGCGATATGACAAACAACTTTGAGCTCATCTCCAGGCCTGGAGCAAAGGGACCATTCACACTGCGCTGGGTCCTGAAAGGAAACATACACCTATGAACCACTACATCAATGCATAATGTCACAGTTTCTCAATTCTGACCTTCTTTGCAAGGTTTCATTGTTACTGTTATCACCACTACTGTTTTAAATAGGAAGCATCAGTCAAAATGACAGTAATAATTAGAACAACATACATGGTAGATAAACTAAGTCAAAGCTGTCAATTATTTCCATGCTTATACTCCATCATGGGTTGAGGTTTCTTAGAACCAATTTTTGTTTTGGGGGTAGAATAACGTTAAGAGAAGATTGGAGCACACACACACTTAATGTTTCACTGAGTATGAATGCAACCATTCAATCCCTTTACAAGGGTGACACAAGGGTAGGAATCACTTACTTTGGATTGGATACAGTTGGGTCCCGGATAAATGTGAAGTAATTGGAAATGTTTTTATCATAAGGCAGCCATCCATGTGTTCCTATCAGGCAGTTGTGGCTCAAAGTAACCTGTGGAGCCAAAGTACAGACATTGAGATCATCTGGTGAAACCTGTCCAAACTGCACAAGTATTTAGTGCATCACACACGGGAAATACAGATCATCTGGTGAAACCTGACCTTACTGGACCAGTTTCAAATGCTAGGTTACAAGTTACAAATTAGAAATGTACAAAAGAAGTTAGCATTCAATTTGAAAGCTAAAACTGGACTGGCTTATTGGCCACAATGGCTAATTCCTGCACTAAACTTTATGTTTCAAATGTTAAAGTGACTTGGAGTCCTCCTTTAAGTTGGGATTCCAACACAGCACACATACAGTCCAAATTAAGAGATGACAAACTCACCAGGATATCAGGGCTTCCTTGAGACATGAACGAACGAGCTTGGGTTTTAGGCACCACTGCTTTCATTATTGGAATATTGTCACTGATCCCCTGCAAAAAAACCCAAACAGGATATAGTCAGACATCATCATCCACCCAATTTCCTCTGTCAAAAGCACTATGGCATGAAAACACGATATTCGGCCCATCTAGTCCATGCTGGTGTTCATAATCCACATGAGCATTCACTTCTCCTATTCCCTTCATGTCTGCATCAAGTTCTTATCATTTGAACTGAAGATCATTAAGACATCAAAATATCTTATTTTTATTGAGTTCTTTTTGGCTAAGTAAAGAGAACTTTGGGGCACAAGCGAGATACTCCAGTGATGATGATCTTTGCCTTGAGTGTGACACTACATTCCTTTAGTGTATCTCCATCACTGAGAAACTTAGATTAATGGACCTAACCTATATTGCTAAAGAAACCTCATCAGATTTCTCATTGATCAGCTCCTGAAAAAGATTGCTTTGGACTGGTGTTCCCTCAAGTCAGTGTGATCTACTTCCTGTCACCAAGAGTAACAGGAGTCTCCATTTGCACAACTCTGATTACTTGTTAAGGAAAGCAGTTAAGAAATACTGTGTATTAGACTTACTCATAATATAAATATATACTTTCAAAATATGTCTTACAACCTTCCTGGGGGGTGGAGGGTAGGGCGGGGAGAGAGGTAAGCAGGGTCTGCTTGAAGCTGAACTGACTCCATGGTACCATGTTTGGCAACAGAATGTCAAAATCGAGTCCACCAATGTGGCAGCCTCGGTAGACCGGTTCCTGATCCAGGTGGGCCCGCAATTCTGAAGGCACTGCCGATGACAGCACAGCCAGGCTGGCTCATGGTAGGACTTGGAAGGGCAGACCAGTAACTGGGGGCACGGACTCTTCCCACTCAGCTTTCTGAGTGGGAAGAGTCTGCAAATGAAAACCTAAGCAAAACGGTGGTCCTAGCTGGACAAGCAGTGGGAAAGCTTGCCAGGCAATGTACTCAATTGCAAGCTTTGCGATTTTAGCTGATTAGATTCCAGTAATACTGTAACACACAATCTGGGGTCTCCAAGCTTTGGCTCTTGCCAAATTGCACCTTATGCTTTCCAGAATTAAGTAAACAGGGAGAGAGTGCGCACTCTATTCCAATAAACATCTCTGGAATTTCCACTTACAGGTGGATGCATGGAATTCTCAGTTTGGTTTAGATACTCTTAAGCATGGTGATGAGTTTCCACATATATCAGACACATGGCTGATTAAAAAAAAACGTTCAGCCATTACCTCCACAAAGAATGACTTCAGTTCAGTGAGGTGCTGGAAGACATTCAGAACACAATTATCCACTCTGGCTTGTCGTTTCAAAACCTCATCAGCAGGCAGCCTGAATGGGTGTGGTTCCTATTATATGATAGACATAGAAAGTTAATTGTTGCACAACAAATCTAATACGACACATTTATTTATTCATAACACAATACCAAGAAATTTGATGACTTTTTATTTTGCTTTCACCTTGCCAAAATAGTTCACTGCCCCCCAATCAGAAAATGTTTGGATTACAGTTCCCATTCAGAAATCTAAGAAAGTCAGCATTAAAAAATGTAAATTCCTTCATGTCACAGTTAATATAAGCATTCAAGCTATTATCAAGTTTAGATGTCAATGAAATTACTGAACGCTGAGGAGTTTCAGTTCACTTTGCAATATACAATTCCGATGGACCAAACTGTTTCCTATTCACATCCACTGTAAAGAATTTCAAAGCACTTGCTAGTTAAGTTCAATCTACACTAAAAGGAAATTGTTCTGAGTTTGAGCAAAGCTTTGGTTCCACTTCAGTTCAAAGCGATTGATTTATCTGCCTGAGAGTTAACTTGAGAATCAAAATCATCAAGTGAGCAAGCAATTCAGTGTACGCGATATTCACAACAAGTTACACATTTGTAGCAATCCAGAAACATTTTTTTCCCTCTCTATAAACTGTTGTCAATCTGGCTCAGTTGGCAGTACTCCCACGTCTCAGTGTTGTGCTGGGGGAAGGTTGCATTGTCAGGTGCCATAAGCCTGCTAAGGTGGATATTTTAGACCCCACGACACTATTCAAAATGGGAAGGGATCTTCTCCCAGTGTCCAGGCCAACAATCCTCCAGATTAAAAAAAAATGCTCTCACTTCATAACTAGTTTGTGGGGCATTACTGCGTGCAAATCAGCTGCCAAGTTTGCCTATAAATATGCAAGCACTACACTGACTAGAAAAAAAACTATGAGACACTGAGACACTGACTTAAAGCCCTATATCAAATGCAAAGGCTATTATTTGAATTCAAACATTGTGCATCTATTCCGATGGTACCTTGAGGAGCTGACAAGGAGTCTGTCCAAAATTACTGATCATCCCTTCCAGTGCCTTGCGCTCTTTCTCATCTGCTATTGCATCCAGGTCAACAGCTCCTGCAATGGTAAAACAATAAGCAACTTAACAACTTACAGGATTTTCTATCTAAAAATCATATGCTTCCCATAAGCAATCCAACTCCCAAAATGTTTAATAACACAGCTACAATTTTATTTGTGGAATGAGCATTTCTGACCACAGCCAACTTTGAAACAAATTGAGCCAATCCTCATTATATGCATCTGAGGATTTAGAGCAATTAACAATAAACACCTGAAGAGTGGAACAAGAATTTCAGTCAAGGTGGCAATATTGCTCAAAAACAGAATCATTTTCACTTTCCTCCAAACATTCCCAAGACAGGAGTCCTGTAGCTCAGTTAGAGCACTCGCCTCCCAAGTGAGAGACCTGGGTTTGGTCCCGGCAAAGCAAAACCTTGGGCAAGTTTCCTTACACCCTCAAGAAAAAAACCCAATAAGAATTGATCACTTCAATCCACGACTGTTTGTGGGACACTGCTCTGCGCAATTGGCTGCCGCGTTTACCTACAAACTATACAGTCAATTCACTTTACAGTATATTCTGTGAAGCACTTTGAGATGTCTAGAAGACATGAAAAGCGCTATATTAAACAACCAAATGCTATTTTGTCCAAATAATATACCTGAGAAAAGCCACTCCATGGAATATAATAGAAATCTGCATTTATATTGCATCTTTCATGTCAGGAGGACATCCCAAAGTGCTGGATGCTGCTGGCTGGGCACCCAAGATGGAGGTGGGAGCTGAGGGGGGTGGGGAAAGATGACAGAAAGTGCTGTCGCCTTGAGACAGAATACGGTAAATATCATTTACAGCATGGAAACATTAGCACTTTGGCCCAGGTTAGTAAGAAAGTTGGAGGAAGATCATGATCTGGCCACAATGCAAAATCTGAACTGGAACGTTTCATCTGCAAATGTTTTAGCACATCAGTCTTTACCATCAGTGAGGTAGGCAAAGGGCCCAGTACAGGATCCCAGCTGCTATCATATATGCTTAATAGAGGCAACATTAGGCAAAGAACAGTTTGTACTGAAGCCTCTATGAGTACTTCAAATCACTCCTGAAATTCTGTTTGAGTTAACAATATGGATTACAAACCTCTCTGGTTTGCTTTGGATCTGTTTTTCTGTTAGACATGAAAACCTTGAAGAGATTTGTGTTTTTTGTGTGTGGTGGGGGGAGGGGAGTAAGAGAAGCAAGACCAAAGATTATGTTTGAATTTATCATTAAAAACACCCACTCTAAATCAGTCAGGATTTACCTTCATAAGTACAGTAGTAGAAAACATTGAGTGCCTCAACTGCAGCTGGTCCCCTCTGTTTATATCCAAATATCAGGTCAATCCACTCATGAAGGTGAGCAGACACATGCTCGGACTCCTAAAAGAAGAGAAATTGTACTGAAATTAATCCATGTCCATTAACAGAGGGAGAAGGAAGCAGGTTTGCATGCGATTGGTGACCAGATTTTTAGACTTTCTTCCCTTTCTGTCTTATTATATCCCACTGCAAAAGGAGACTGACAACGTGGGTCAGACAACGAGAGCATAAGCCCAAATTGCTCCATCACTGCAGCAAGAGTAACTTCGCTGGTAAGTGAGGGTCTATTTAAAGCAAGTGTTCTAAGTACTTATCCCTAGATGTGTTGTAGCTTCTTTTAGTAGCTTCAGTTCTTTAAAGATTGCTTCAAGTGCATAAAACTACACAACAGGTGCTCAAAGAAATGACCAAAACATCAGGTAGTTCATTCAATCTCCTGATAAAGGGACAACAACAACAACTTAGATTTATATAGCGCCCTCCATGCCGGACAACGTCTCAGAGCGCTTCACAGTAACGGATCCCGGGACAGAGCCAGGGGGAGGAAGGTGACCAAAGGCGCAGTCGAAAAGAAAGGTCTTCAGCAGAGATCTGAAAATGGGAAGGGAGGGAGCGAGGCGAAGGGAGTGAGGAAGGCAGTTCCAGAGCCTCGGGGCATAGTGGCTGAAGGCACGGTCACCGAGGGTGGAGCGGAGGACTTGGGGGACAAGGAGGAGCCCAGACCCGGAGGAATGAAGGCAACGGGTACTGGGCTGAGGAGAGAGGAGGTCAGAGAGGTAGGGGGGTGCAGAGAACTGCAGGGACTTGAATACGAGGGTGAGGATCTTGAAATCGATCCTCTCTGGGAAAGGCAGCCAGTGCAGTCTGGCAAGGACTGGGGTGATCGGGGAGCGGAGTTTTGTGCGGGTGAGAATGCGGGCGACAGAGTTCTGAATGAGTTGGATTTTATGGATGGTAGTGGATGGGAGACCGGTGAGGAAGGACAGTGCGGGGAAGTATAATAGCTGAATGCATTTACCCAACAATGAAATTACAATGAGAATGCAACCCTCACCAAGGCTTTCCTATGCTTGTAAATGAAATCCTCGGGAGAGTTGGCCCATTTTGGAAGTATCACGTCATTGACTCGTTCCTTGGAAATCTGTAGGCGCCCCAAGTCAAATCCTGTAACAGACGAGAAATTCACTAATTACCACAATGTCTCACTTTGCATTCAGAAACATTTGCAAAACTAGCATTTTCTGCAATACTGGCTTTTAGAGACAAACTTTTGTCAGTGAGGAGTTAAGATTTTAAAAAAATCACTGGATTAACTGTATCCTCTTTCTCTAACCCCTCTGCACGTGAGCATCTTCAGAAAGGTCAGATGAAATACTGCAGGACACACTCCGGCACAGCCAATAACTTGCAGTTGACAACACTTGCAGGAGGTGACGTGGCCAATGGGTCTCCCAGGTTCTGCTGGTTCATTTAAGACCAACAATGGCTGCATTGTTCCTTTGGATCACAACAGAGCCCAAGCCCACAGTGAGTGTACTGGACAGCATGGTACACAGGGAACTTTTGAAACTAAATGACACTCAGCATAAGGGGTTAATTTGTGAGATTCGTAAAAAGATTCATCATCTGGCAACATCTGGATGAGTTGGAATTTCAGTAGGACACCAACCCACATTTCCAATTTTCAGTTGTGGTCAAAGAAAGCAGGACTTCGGCCTCAAAGTGGAGTTCCAGCAGGTCAGCTAAGAGCCTGTAGGATTTGAGATTTGTGGTTCTTTTTCAATCCTGCAAATTCCCCTCCACCCTCACACAGACACACACTTCCAAGGATGCTATTCATTGTATGAAACGTTACACACACTTGATAGACCCAACGCCCCTACCCACCACCGCCTGACAAAGCTTAGGAGCAACTACATACTGTTCTGATTTTCTAAGAATTCAGGAAAGTAGAAGAACTCCGGAATGAGTTCCTTCACATCATTGGGATTTTCCATGAGCGCTTGCCACGTTGCGGGAATGGAATGGAATTGCCGGTCTGCACAGTCAAACCTGACAGACACAGGAATCAAAGATACCAAACATTAGTAAGCATGCATAGAAATCATTAAATTCTCACAGTATAGAGCAAATTAAGCCACTTGTTATGAAAGCCAAAAATAAATCTTGCAAAGTTTAATTTTATTGTCATCTTCTGAATCACACCTTGGGAGGGGAGAACACGCTAGTAATCAGCAGATGTGCTGAAGAATAGGACCTTGCGAATTTTCTCTCCCTCTTGTGGCCAGCAGTAGCGAACATTTCATTGCCATTGCTGTTTTTTAGGTTTAGACATACTGTTCTGATAATCAATGAGTTAGTCTGTAGCAAAACAACTGCAGCACTAAACTATGATTAGCTGCTTAAAAATATCAATTAAAATGCTATCTACTATAAGAGTTCCTGCAATGTAACATCACTGTGCTCATCCTTTCCAAATAAACCACCACCAATGAACAGGTTTTATCCTCTCATGGCTGCTGCTTCTCTAATTATGTAGTATTATAATATACCTACCAAGATAGCCTGCTGTGATGCCCCCAGGCTTTTCCCACTTAAAAGCCTACATTTTTTCCAACTTTCCCTCAAGTCTCAGGGCTCCACATGTGTCACTTGTCTTGCTCTCAAGGGTGCTCAACTTACAAAACATGCATTAAGCATAAAATAAAATGCACAAGAACTGCTGTTCAACTCTGTGGCAGAAATACAAAGGCTTTGTAAGACAGACAGTGCTTATTGCCTCAAATATTTAAAATAATTGCATTTGTTATAAGCCCTTTTATGTCAGGGGGATGCCTCAGAGTGCGACACAGGACTTACTGTAAAGTTCAGTGACTATATTTTATGGGAGAACATAGCAAACAATTTTTATCCCCAAAACAGCCATAAAGTGAATGAATGACCAATTTCATCTGGAGGATTGTAGGCCAGGTCACTGACAGAAACTAATTTTCTCTTTGTGAGTAGGATGACATGGAATTGGTAACAGCCAACATATGCAGATGTTGAAATGCAGATGGGACCTCAATTTAACATCTCATGTGACAGGTGGCACCTCCAACAATGCAGCACTCCCCTGCTTAGATTGCGAGTTCAAAGTCCTGATATTGGACTTGAATCCACAACTCAAGAGGCAAAATTGATTCCAACTGAGCCAGGTTGATACCACTCATGATTGTTCCCCACTTATGCTTCAGTAGGAGCAGTGATTCAATAACTGACACCCCCACCAATACCATCTATAGCACTGGGCATTTGTTCTCATTTAATGAGTCACTCTTCCCCCCCACCCCCTAAAATTTGAATTATTCACTTAATTCTCCTGGTAGTGTCCACGATTCCTCCAACTCTGAACTAATTTGCACGCAGTTTCACCATCGGTAGCTGAGCATCAAGCCAAACTCTCTTTGCCTGCACCTCTCACTCTGCTCTTAAAAATATTGTTCTGACCATGCCTATGGGCCACAACCACAAATTCCTTTTCCTTCTCTCCCAACTATGAGATCTCCATCGACACTGAAAAACTCTTCTGCAACGTTATTTCATTATTCGCTTTGTTCCGAAGCACTTGCTGAGAGACAATGTGAGCATTGAGCAAGCACCTGCCACTCTGTAACTGGATGTGTAACATTGTGAAGGGCTCCACTCGAATCATGTAGTGCATCACACCAGCTGCATTGGAGTAGTGTGTCCCATAGTGGAATTTGTCGATTGTTCCTGTTGGGTCCTCAAAATAGTCAAACCTGCAGCATCATGGAGAAGAAACAGAGCCTGTGAGAATACGCAATTGCCAGGCTATAGAATATAAATCATAATAAGCCTTGCCTTTGACATAGTGCCTTATCATGTCTCCGAGGTGTCTCAAAGTGCTTCACAGTATATTGTAAAGTGAATTGACTATATATTTTGTGTGTGAAACAAAATATACATTCACGTACTTGAGGATCACATGATGGTTTTGCTAATTTGGAAAAGGGCCGACATAGATTGTCACAATATATCTCGTCTTTCAGGACAGAGTTTTACAGAGTGAGAGAATGTGTGCGCGCGTGTGCACGTGAGTGAGTATATCAGAGTGTTTGAGAAAACAAAAGAAACCATGCAGCAGGTTACAAATGCCCTGGAAATTGTCAGCTCTGATTAGACTGATATCTACAGAAACCATCATTGATTACTACAGTGTATAGCAGTGTACTGTTTTAGAGTAGCACTGGTAGAGGATGGGTGAGTACCCTGCTACAGAGAAACACTAGTCGGGAGCAGGCAAAGCGGCTGTAGAGTAACATTGGCACTAACTTTTCTTGGACTACTTTGGCATTCTTTTTGTTAGCAACTCCAATTGGTTTGGAGAGGTCTCTGAAGACTGAAGGGTTGTTTAAATCCAGCTCCTCTGAAGTGTAATCATTGAGAATCCAAGGAAACTGAAAGGAAAAAACGAGTGTCAAACTCACCAGAAGATGAACTGAGACTTCTACGATCCCAAACACCACTGCAGGGACCTATTTGTTGGGCAAATCAGCTAAGGGGATGGTAGTGTAATATCACTGGAATAGCAACCCAAAGATCAAGGCATTGAATCCAAGTTGCACAAGTTGAATTAAATTAAAATTTCAAATGAAATTAATTTGAGCTACTATCCGAAAAAAGACAGATTGTGTAAAAACAACAGAAGTTCAATGAGGTTCTTTAGAGAAAGAAATCTTCCTTCCTTGCAATCCACATCTGGCCTACTCACCAGAGACTCCAGTGCCACATTTTGTGTCTGAGTCTCAGCGTTTTTTGAAGTGGTCCAACAAGCCACTCAGTTGTAAGAAAACTGCTACTGAATCAAAGACTGCGCTGGTTTAAAGAGAAGTCACACCTTCAATTGGCAACTAGTGTCACACAATCTGAAGATGAGTAACAAAAGGTAGACAGATGGATGCGCGCTCACTGCTGTGTGATCCTCAGGAGACAAAGATTAATAACAGGCTAAACTGTACCATGCATTTTGTTGTTAACTTGTGTTTGAAAAAGGTTACTGCAACATACCACAGGATACTGGGCCAGGTCGTTGTACGTTCTTCCCGCAATTGCATTCAATTGTATGAGGTAGTCAAAATTTGAAATCTCTCTGGTCACCCATTTCTGGAATGGAGGGGCAGGAGAGCAAATTGAATGTAAATGAACATTTCATCAGGAGTTTACCTACCTAACCTCAAAGAGAACCTTGTTATTAGTTGCTGTGCAACTGGTTAGAGTCTAAATCTAAATTCTAAATTGAGCGGCAGTAAAATATTGCACCAGGAGGTGTAATTTCAGATTTTCCACTGTGATTCCTTATTCATGGAATAGACTGTCTACCATTTCTCATTGTGGAGCCTGCTGTTAATTTACGGCACAAGGATTGAGAAATGTGGAAAATCCCATGTTGTATCACAATATGAAATATGGTTGCCGGGCTCACAGAGAGCGTTATAAAGGTTGTGTTTGCATTTGACAATTTAAGACTGTACCTGTGTGAGCCCTGATGCCTTCAGCAGCTCCTGGGGTGATCGAGTGCCATAAAGGTTTGGAGGCCGGAGGGACAATATCCGGCTGTAGACTTTGTTCCTCACCTATGAAACCAATTACTTTATGAGAATAAAAGACAACAGCAATAATACACATGCTTACAACTCATCTTCCAAAATGCACCACAAGTATCTTGGGGAGGGGACAGCAATTCTACCTAAGGTCCTCAATACTTCAGATTAATATTTCAGTATCAAAAAGAAAATATTTAAGTCTGTACTTCTCCTGCACACTGCTCATACAAGATTTATAACAGCCCTTTACTACTGCACCCAGATTTCCCATGGCAACTTTGTGGTATTTTATTCCAATGGCTCTTTAACGTGAAGATGGGGGAGGAGGCTAGGAGTGAAAGACACAACCAGAAGAGTAGCTCATTTGAGATTTGCATCACTTGGACAAGCTGGTCCTAGTAGCTTTTGGAAAGGCACGGTAAGCGTCATTACAGCTCTGCAATAGTGGCTGCTTGGGATGTACCTCTTTTTTGAAGTTCAAAAAGTAGTTGGTTTGGTCGATTAGAAAGATTTCCAGCGCCGACCTTCTTAGGTTGTATCGCCGCAAGTGAATCTCACGGAGTTGGGAGAGCGGCCACTTAAAGTCATACCCGACCCCTGCAAGACAAAAAATTTTTAATAAAAAGAGTAAAAAGAGCCTGGATGGTGCAGCTTCTGACCAATATAATTCCTTGTTTCCAATAGATCAGATATAGTTGGATTAATTGGAAATGATCAACTAACTGATTAAAAGCATAGAGCAAATCCAGTATGTGGTGGATCCATAAAATCCCAATCATATTTATAACAGGCATGAAAACCAGCAAACACCTTTCAATGATTCTCAACCCTTGATGTATGTGCGAACTTTATTAACGCTTTTGTACTAAGTAGCCTCTGCTTCTCTTCTAACCCTATTTCAAAGGTGACTCAACCAAGTCAAAGTCACCACAGACAGGTATTCCCAAGTTAACCCCAATGCCTGGTAACTGGAATGTCTAATCGGAGTCTGCTCACACTAGTAGAACTCCGATGTTGACAACTACTCTCCAAAGTGCTTTCTCCTTTTCTTGTCTAGAACATGACAGTGACTCAAGGATACATTCTGCAGGAACCTAGTTACTCTAGGCTACCTTGTATATAAAGAACACAACAATGGAAGATACACAATAAGAGGAGAAAACATAACGATCATACATAACTATAACAACTGGCAGCATAATACTGCATTAGTAAAGGAACATGAAACCAACTTTGACTGTACAGTAGTCCTGTACACGTCAGTATGTCCCAGATGACGGCGATTAGTTAGCGACCACGAGGAGCACCGAGCATTGCCTTATATCCGCGTGCGGCTCCACCCACTGCATGATGCGAATGCGAGGATTTTTCTCGCGCTGGCGCCCACGTGTTATTTTACTCTGCGGCTGCTTGTTAACTGACTGTCCATCAAGCAGCTCTGGACATATACTTTGTTGTAACTTGTGTTCGCTGCTGCTAACTTTGTGCTGTAAGCAGCTTCTGCAACTTGGAATCTTACAGAACCCATTTAAAGGGGCAGGCTTGCCCATGTCCCTTAAATACTATTATACGTATTATTTAAATAACATTATACATATTATTTACATTTTACAAAAGACTGCAAGAATAGGGTAACCGTGACAGCCTCCACCTTCATTGTACACTTGTCCAAAAAGCCAGCAGGCTCCCCAAGTTAAAAAGTGGTTGACTTCCAGAGTACCAGGTCGCCAATGAAATAATGTCCTTCCTCGTCAAGCTACTGTATTTACAACAGGAAATTTTAATAAGAATGTGTAACCCAATTACCGACCCACTAGTTCATTGGGTATCCTTCTTGTTTCTTACCTTCCTCTTTCTCAACACTAGCGTCAAAGAAATAGATGTGCTGGGTGGTGACATCCAGGCGGCCTGCTACCACATCCATGATGGTAATTAGTTCACAGTCCTCGGAGATGACCAGCTTCTCCTTCTGACTTGGTTCCTCTTTCTCATTCCTGAGTCACACAAGAAAGGGATTAAAACTGCATTCAACTGGGATGAAATCCCCTGAAACAGGTATAGCACATATCATCTTGAGATTAAAGACAATGCCACAGAGTAAATAGCTGTATTAAAGCCAGGCCCACAATTCATTGCTATGGGTGTTTTGCTGTTGACAAAGTTTTTCTGCTCCCAGACTTCATTCTGAGAATAACACTCTCAAATGAATTGTCCTAAATGTTCATTGACTTACAGAACACCAGTTGGATGCAAACTGATTAAAAAATAAAATTTGATTTCAAAAGGCAAGACTTGTGAAAGGACTTGTGTGGTCATCTTGACACAGTAAAGTTGCCTCCTAAAGATGGAATAGGATGGCAGTCAGTATCTAAACTATCATCTGTTTGACAAAGAAAGGCTTGTGTCATTATCCAGTGGTTCAAACATCTCTGCCACCAGGTGGCGATTTCGTACAATGAGACTGAACAGATGATGGAAGTACAAAACTACATGAGATGGGATTGGCTAAAGTGTGGCATATTCGATCTCTGATCTCATTCTTCTAGAATATCAACTTTAGCTTTTTTTTAAAAAAATGAATGTCTGGCCTCAACCACTGTAACTGTTGGTAAATAAACAATAATCCTTGCATTTATTAAATAATGCCTTTCATATCAGGAGAATGTCTCAAAGCTCTTCACAGAAGAGGATGTCTCAAAGTGCAGTGACTGTATTTTGTAAGCAACGGTATCCGGTATGTAACAAAATACTTAAACATATGTCCTAATCTTGCTCTTCACAACTCTGAACGCATCTCCTTTGTGCTGCATATAGGAACTTGTCTCCCTGGAATTATACTAGTTCGGAGAAGATATTTGAAAAAGCCCAGCAAATATGTAGCAATCCAAAACATGTTGTATGGTTGACCAATTTGTCTTTATTCCCGTTGAGATTTGGAAAAAATGACATAGCCTCAGCAATACGAGCCAAATCCCTAAAGGCATCTAGCTGAACAAGTACTGTACAGTGTGATTAACATTATTTAATTTATATTTCCCACTAAAATGCTCCCTTTTTTAAACAATTGATACTTACATGTTACTGAGAACACTCAGGTCTTCATCTGCTAATCGATCATCCTGCAAGTCACTGACCTTGACTTGTTTCACTGCCTCCAGCAGCAAGGTGTCATTGGTAGGAACAGTATGCTGGACCCCTGGATAAACACAACAGATGGAAGTCAGCAACTGAGACAGCAACACATCATGCCACCTGAGTACAAACCAACAAGAATAGTGAAGCTCTAGCTGCATAGGTCCCAACTGAATAGTGAAGCTCTAACTGGCCCCAAGACAAATTTCAACATAAAAGTTCTTTGTTTTTAAATTATTTTTGTGCAAAATGGCTAATAATTGGATCAGAGAAGGTTACGAGGAGACCTAACAGAGGTCTTCAAAATCATGAGGGGATTTGATAGGTTAGAAAGGGAAAAACTGTTTCCACTGGTGGGTGTGTCGGTGACTCGAGGTCACAGATTCAAAATAGTATCTAAAAGAAGCAGAGGGGAGGTAAGAAGAAATCTTTTCACGCAGCGAGTTGTTTGAACCTGGAATGCATCCAAGGGTGGTGGAGGCCGATTCGATAACTACTTTTAAAAACACAGTGGACGGGTATTTGAGGAGGACTGGTTTGCAGGGTTATGGGGAAAGGGCTGGGGAGCGGGACTGACATTAATTGCTCTATTCAAAGAGCCGGCACAAACTCGATGGGCCGAACGGCCTCTTTTTGTGCTGTACGATTCTATGATTCTATGAAATGGAAAACTTTAAAACACTGAACCATAGAAATTTACATCACCGAAAAAGACCATTCAATCCATCAGGTTTATGCTGACCCTTTTTTATGAAAAATCCTTTCAGTCTCATTTTTCTGCCTCAGCTGCTGATCTCCTGTAGCTTACACCTCCGGGTAAACGTACTGGGTACTATGATGGAGCAGATCACAACCGTCCAAACTGTAGACTTGCGTGTAATGGTAAGTCATCTCTTTCTTCCCCTCCCTCATTGTTTCCAGCAGAGATGTGAAATTGGTCTGGTTCTCGTACCCCTGGTCCATGCCATACATAGACTGACACTAAACAAAGACATAACCTTGTCCCGGGTAATAGTCTACCAAGCCCCTTGTTGGGATTTTAAGCTCATAGTCCAGGCTGACATTCCAATACAGTGCTGGACAGGTGTTGCATTGTTCAAGGTGTCATCCTGTCTGCCTGTTCAGGTAGATTTAAAAAATCCCATGGTACTGATCTAAAAGTGATGAAAATTTCTTCTGGGATCCTGCCCAACAATCCTCCAGATAAAATTGATCATTTACTTAATGGCTGTTTGTGGGATATTGCTGTGTGCAAATTGGCAGCAGGATTTGCCTGCAAAGCACAAAGTCATTCCTGTATAGTAAATCCTGTGAAGTGCTTTCAGACATTTGGACAACGTAATAAGGCGCTATATCAAATGCAAGGACGGTGATTATTGTAATATTATTAGTCACTCACCAAGATTATCGCGTAATGCACTTGCATCGGAATGGGGGTCGAAGTTGTAGTTCTGGATCAGCTTGAGCCTCATGCGGGAATAATTCTCCACACTGGACAACTTCCAGTAGACAGCAGCCTGGTTTCTGTCAATCGAGGCGATAGGTGAAATGACATAATATTTCATGGTGGGAAACAAGAACTTGCATTTATTTATATAGCGCCTCTGATGCAGAGTCATGTCCTAGAGAGCAGCACTTTCCTCAAGAAGAAATATTATGATGTGAAACAAATAATTTCCTCTCTGTTACTGTTGAGCAGCTCAAACGTTAAGGTCAGCATAAAAGTCTAAATGATTAACGTTGGTTGGGGCTGATTTATTAAGATGGTAACTTGCTGAGATCTCAAGCAATTCAAGAATTCTTCCTGCAGAATAATAACGCAGTAAATACACTATTCGCCCATTTGTTAAAAGCCCACTGCAGTACATAACTGTCAGACCACTAGGTTGTAGTTCGATTGCTAATTTATGCTGAGTTAACTGGTCTCAGACAGCACAAAGATTGAGGTAAAACAATTGACCTCAGTGAGCCCTGGACTTAGGAGGGAAAGTATCTTCCAGTTTCTCTCTGCTGATCGTGTTGGAAGTCGGGCAGTGACAGGATTAGGATCAGCTGCAAGGTTTCCTGCAGTTGAATAGTCTGCGATGCTCACTGTTAAAGATCACAAGTTAAGTAAGGCAAGTTAAGTGAGGTTCCGGAACAAAAATTACATTCGATAATAGGTTTTAGAACCACTGAGATGTACAGCACGATAGTTCATGTGGTCCATTGTTTCAGTGCTGCCTTTTTAAAAGAGCAATCTATTCAGTTGCATTTATTTGTCTTTTCCCAAAACCCTTGCAACTTATTCCTTTTTTAAGATATCTAAAACTTCCTCCTAAAAGTGAGATGATGTTGTAAAATAACCTCACATGAAAACAGTGAAGTTCTGTCAGGAGAATAGGTATAGTTAACTGGAATTACCACATTACCCAACCCTCATACTCCACATACTTGTCAGCCCATGGTCCTCTCTCACAGGTTAGGTAGTGTTGGCCAGCCTTCCACTGCCTCACTGTTGCTGTGTGCTGGCTGTTGAGTTGCTTTAACATGCTGTTGTAACGCAGGTTCTCTTGCCTGCCTTTTCGAGTGAATGGTTCAACAAAATACTCCTAGCAAAAGACAAAACAAAGGGCCTGTCATTATTTATTGCACCTGCAACCTACTCAGGATTTTTAACAGATTATTTCAGTGTTTGTTTTCGACTTTTATTCAAAGGGATACGTTTTTCAGCCAAAAAAATTAAAACCAGAAAAGGATGTGTAACATGTATCCGATACATCTTGAAATGTTCACGTTAAGCTTTGTTCTCAGCACAGCCTTAACCTTAAACTTTCCGTTTTAGGATGAAAACAACAGAAGAAACACAAGTACATGCTGACCACACCCCACTCACCTGGAATCTGAGCTTGCTCTCCCCCTTTTCACGATCTCTTTTGTGTAAATTCACCATCATTGTCTCATAGCATTCTTTCCAGAAGATTGCCATGCGCTCGTGCCCCTTGCTGAACATTTCCACTTCGTACTGCTTCATTGAAGGAATGATCTACAAAGGAGACCCCACACAATAGCTCAAGTCAACTTTGAACAGCTATGTTCTCATCCACAGCCCCATATTTCTCGTACCATTTTCTTTTCCCCTTCCCTCGACTAAAGGCGCTAACCCCCCCTTTCTTTCACTCTGGTACAATTCCATAGATCATGTCAAACAGACACTATTTATTGTGAATCTTGATAGTAATATATTTGCCAACTGGAGATGATGCCAATTCCATTCATACCTGTGGATGTTCCAGTGCTGTATTTCAATAGTGATCAGAATATTTTTGGCTTCCAAAATATTTCCAATTAAATTTTGAAGCAATGATGCAAAAGCTAAGCCCATTTGAAATTTTAGGAATCAGGAACAGAAATCCTGACTGATTTTCCCTTAAACGACTCTGAGGTCTTGAGGCTAATTGTTGACCCAAATGCTACCCTGGCAGAGATGAACTGACTCAGCATAGATCAGGATTCAAACCCATGACCATGACCTTCCAGATGGTGCATTTATACAGCAAGCCATCAGAGAAGCTCTTCTCAGAGGCATTTTAAAATGACCAACTTACAACAGGGAAAACAACAATCTTCAATGAAGAACATGCAACCGGGACCGAGCGGAACATTCAGAAGTAAGAGGAAATTACGTACATATTTGTCAATGTAATCCCGCCATTCACTGCATTTGCAGTATTCCTGAAAGTCCTCAAAGAAAGAAGGGCTGCCGTTGCTTTGGGGGAGAGAGGGTAAGTGCAACTTCATGTATAGCAGCTCGTAGATTTTGGACACTAAAGTCCGTATGATTGGGATCAGGAAGGAATACGTTTCGGTTTTCTCCTTGATGGACTTGGTCAGGGTTCCCTCCAGCTTCCCTAAAAGGAAACAAGCTTCATCTCGGTTCACAATGACTTTAGTCTGAAGTATTGTGTTGAGTTTCGCTGCCGCCATGGCACACACCTGATTCCAAGACAGAGAGAGACAGCAGTGATTACTCGACAGAACCCAATGGTGAAACAATAATATTTGCACACAAGATATCTGAACATCTGACACAGGCCATCGCCTGGCTCAAGTGTCTCCAAATCCAATTACTAAAAATTCCACTTAAGGTTAGGGTTAGGGTTTCAGTTTGTCTGGTATATCCGAGGGTAATTTCAAATAGAATCATTACAGCTGACAAAAAAAAGAGGGGATACATTCATCAATGTAGTTAATGCACTCTTGCCTCTTAGTCAGCAGGTTGTAGGTTCAAGCCCCACATCTGGCCTTTAAGTGTATAGTACACTGATACTCTAATATAGTGGAGAGGATGTTGTCCTTTGGATGAAACATTAAACCAACATCCTGTCTGCCTATTCAGGTGGTTGTTAAAGATAAAAAAAAGGGTTTCTCCCGACGTCCAGGCAAACAATCCACCACATAAAATTGGTCGTGGATCCGAAATGTTGACGGATGTGGACGCAAACATCCACCCCAATAATACTTGTATTCTGAAAATTTGCACCCATGAGCTCTCTTTCCCAGGTGTGCTGTAAGGAAATGTCTGCATGATTGCATGGGTGAAACCTAGAGGGGAGCTTTTAAATGGGATGCACTGTAATTACGAAGGAAGAGTCTCTTTGTCTACCTGTATGTTATCTTGTGCGATGAAGCCAAGGAGAAGCCGCACGCCCACCTGCGAGAGTTGCATCCATTCTGGGCCGGATGAGTACCACACCAACAAGCTATCCATTAGCGTCACCATCTCCTCCAAAAGCTGTGCAACGGAGCCAACCACACGTATATAATGCAGGTTAATTGGAAGAGAATGCTTACAAGCTGATATCGCAGCAATTGTACCGGCACAGTTTTGTGGTGGCTTCCTAAAATGAGGAACAGGGACTAACTAGGATTTAATCCCTCCACTGTCCTAGACAAAAAGGAGGGGGAATGGAAAGCACAGCAACAAAACACTGCAAAAGAGGAATTAAGTACCTTATCAGTCCACATAGCAGGATTCACCAGCCCCTCAGCCTGAAGAAAGTCCTGAACAACATGCAGCAATCGCACTGCATTCTCAGTGTGAATTGGAAGCGTGACTGCTGTTGCCTCCCTGTTATCAGTCACGGTCCACTCCAACATCTTTTCAAGAAGGCTGAAAGAAAAGAATAAGATTTGCACCCCAAGGTTGGTATAAGGCATCCCCTAAATTTAGCAAAAACTACACTCTGCAGAGCCCAAAACTCCTGACTAAATTCTTTTGAAAAAGTACTTGAAAAAGAAATTGCCCCTATAAATCTCCATTCGATAACAACTTTTAAGAGAGAAGCAAATAATTATTTGGGGAGGACAAGTTTGCAGGGCTATGGGGAGATAGCGGGGGAGTGGGATTGATAGCTCTTTTCAAAGAGCCTTCACAGACACAATGGGCCGAATGGCCTCCTTCTGTGCTGTATAATTTTATGATTCTATTCACCAACACACGTAATATAAGCACTAATCAACAAACTCAACACGGAGAGAACTTCAGGTGGATCAAGGTTGAATTTTCCCTCTTTTGTGTGTGATGACGTTTGCAAATCCCTCTCATTTACAAAAACACTCAATCAATCTTCTGTTTTGCAAATTTAAAAAAGTTGCTGTCCTCTTTAAAGGACTGAGAATTTACATATTGTAAAGTTAAAACAGCGCAATGATAATCCTATAATACTAACCATCTCTAGATTAACAAAGACTCCAAACAGGAAAATTTGTAAAGGGAGAAATTAAAATTAAAGGCTCAAATCCCAAAGTGCTTTTGTTGCTTACTAACTTTAGTTTAATTTCATCTGATGGACAAAGCAACTCGTTTGCTGTCCCCAGTTTAGTCAGTGCTGAGAAGACCTGTCCTCGTTCAATCCAAGAGGCATCATCTGACCCATCCAGCCCACGCCACATGATGCAAAGCAGCATGTCCATCAGGATTCGACTCAACTCTTCCTCGCACTTCTGGGAATGAAAGTACAATGTAACTGAAGCAAGGGTCAGCAAATCTAGCTCTCAGTCAGGTTAACACAGCACACAGGCAGCTAACTGCCCCAGTTCTGCCATTTTATTAGGTCATGGCAGGCCTCTTAATCTCATCTCACTCTTTTCTCCACATCTCTTGCTACCCTAGAATCCATCCATCTCCCTTTTAAACAGTCCAATTAATTGTACATCATATCACCTTTTGTATACAAGTCTGCAACATTTCAAAAAGATGCAAAAAGAGAGACAAGCTGACCTCTTGTTTACAGTGCTTCAACAGAATTCCAGGCTTCTGACCGAGAATCGACACAAAACAAATTACATTTGAATAACGTCTTTCATGTCGGGAGGAAGTCCCAAGGCGCTGGGCAGTCAGGAATTTGGAAGCAAGCAGGGCGTTGGGATCAGAAGGGGTGGAGGGCAGGGAGAGTAGGGATAGGAGGGTCGCCGAAGAGAAGGGTCTTGAGATGTGCCTTGAAGGAGGCAAGGGAGGCGAAGTAACTATGGGATGGAATTCCAAAGGGTGGAGGCTGAAGGCCTGAACGTCGATGGTGGAGCAGGCCTGGAGCCTGCTGAGCGGAGGGAACGGACAGATTGATATTCACATAAGTTTCTCTGTCAGATATTGGTTGGGCTGTTAATATTCACAGCTTATTTCAGGTTTTCAGCATTCACAAGTTTCGGAAAAATAAGACACAACTAAATGGCAGTAAAATAGCTGAATGAATTACCTCTCTACTTCCAAAAGTGTCGTAAATCGAGGCGTCGTCTAAGTAACTTGACTCATCTGAAGTGCTGGATTCCCTGTCAAAGTGGTGGCCTGGAAATGGTTTGGCCATCTCCAGTGGAGATGGGGTGCTGGTCGTGCTTCCTGGTGTTTGGCTTTCACTGTCTCCCATTTCATAAGAAACCGTGCTTGACAAGTCCAAGATCAGATCCCTCATTTTGGGAGGCCAAATCTCAGTCTGGGCCTGAGCTCCCTCTAAACTTTCTGTAAGAGGAGAGCCGATAGAAACTTCATCTTCCACCAGGATTTCAGAAGAATGGCTTGAGTCAATGGATTTATTGTCAGCCAGTCCATCAAAGCTTTTATTACCAAAGAATTTAGACACATTGTCGTCTGCTGCATCGTTGTCCAACAGTCTACCCTCTTCCCTCATCGGAGACCCTACGTTGATGTTTTTCAAGCGTTCTGAGTGCCTGGGATCTGCTTGCCTACTGAGGTCCAAACTATTGGGACTTAAGCTGTCTGCCCCAGCGCTGTCCCTGTTCTCTGCGTTCTCTTTCAGGAATAATCGCACAAGTGTTTCTTGCCAGGCAACCTGCTTCGCCAGCTGCTGGGCTGCTTCCTGCTGGGACTGTAAGAGTCGATAGATCTACAACAGTTTCGGGGGAGGGTGGGAAAGAGAGAGAAGACAGTGAATCATAAATGGTTGCTCTAATAGTAAAAGCACAACGTGCTCACTTTTGCATGGGCCAACCCAGTACAAACACTACTCCATTTAAAAGATTGCTTTACAATAAGGTTCGCGGAGGAAACCAATACAAAACCACAAGTGCAACAGAACTATGATTGTTCATGAGTAGAATAACTCAAGAGAAATATGCAAAAACGTTTGCTATTTTAAAACTAATAAAGATAATCCTTGCATTTGATAAAGCATCTTATTCTGTCATTCAGACATTTCAAGAAGCGCTTCACAGGATACTGTAAAGTGCAGTGACCTCATTTTATGGGCAATTCTCAGCAGCCAGGCAATATCCTCCAAACAACCATCAATAAACTTACTACAACTAGCAGTGAACTGACCTGAGGATTGCACACCACAGACTGAATGTCCTTCATGATATAATACCAAAGGATGGCAAATGAATACAATTCACAGCCTAAAAGCAGAGCAAGACTGCTGCTGACTGCTATTATCCCAACCTCAGAAGAGCAACCTCAAGTCTTCCCTGCTCCCTCCTCTCCTGCTTTGTACATCTACATTTCCGAGCCCAGCATCCTGTGGCTTCTCTGAGTGAGACTGATAATTTAGTGCCGATTTAAGAGTAGCCTTGTCCTGTGGGCCCCCACCCACTGAAATCTGGGCTGAGATTGCCCAATCATGCTTCACTTCAGACTTTTAGAGCCAGCATAGGAAAGAGGAGACTTCCACCAATTCATGTTGGCCAAATTTACAACACGTCCCCAAAATGAAAGCATATCGTCTGTTACTCAGTTTAGTCACAGAATTTTATAGTCCATTTAATTCGAAAAAGAGGAATACAACTCGCATTACATAGCGCCCTTCATGCAGTGAAGTGTCTCGGAGCGCTTAACAGAGGCAAAGCTTGAGGCCAAGCCAAGGGGGAAGCGGTGATCAGTGGAGCCCTGTAGTTCAGTGGTTAGAGCACTCGCCTTGCAAGCAAGAGACCAGGGTTTGATTTCCACCAGGCCGAAACTATGGGCAAGTTTCCTTACTCCACACGCCGGATAATAATCCCTCAAGAGAAAACTAAAATAACAATTTGGTTATTCAATAGTGGGAAACTGCTGTGCGCAATTTGCTGCCACGTTTCACCCACAAATATGCAGTGAATTCACTTTACAGTATGTTCTGTGTAGCGCTTTGAGACATCTAGCAGACGTGAAAAACACTATATCAAATGCAAGGATTATTATTATAAGCACTGTCAAAGAGCAAGGCGTCTTCCGGCAAGATCTGAAACAGAAGAGGCGGGGGGGGGGAGGCAGAGAGGGAAAGCATTCCAAAGGTGTAGGGCAAGGTGGCTGAAAGCACAGCCACCAATGGTGGAGCAGAGAGGACGAAAGTCAAGCAATCAAGCAAGAGGCCAGAGTGGATGTTTGAGCTGAGTGGAAGCAACGGGGAATAAGCGGGTCGGAAAGTTAGGGAGGTCACAGGACTTGTAGACGAGTGTGAGGATCTTTAAGTTGATTCTGTGTTAGGGAACCAGTAGAGTCTGGCGAGGACTGATGTAATGGGGGTATGGAAAACTCCTGGTCAAAATCATACACTAAGTCATTCCTGACACCAAAAATAAATACACAATAGTACTTGGGGCATTTTCCATGACAAACAAAGCCTGTCTGATTCAAAGCTACTAAGATAGGACTGACCTTCCTGCAAACTGCAAGTCTCACGTTAATGTTCGCTTTGTGAACCAGATGCACCACTGCCATGAGGTCTTTGTAATTCACCACAGTATCTGAAGAAAACCCAAAAAAAGTAAAATTGGCAGTAACAAACACTACCACGTTGTCGAGAGAGCTGCACTTGCAGGGAAAGGAAGGTGATAATCATCTTACATGATCATCTTTCCGAGTTCAGGAGCTCTTTACAATACATTCCCTAAGTGATAGGAATGGATGAAGTTAAGTCCACAGTAGTGAAAGGTTGAGAGGTCAATTGGCTTTTCCTTGCTCCAAGAGTTTCTTTGTTCTAGTTATACTCATGAGCTAATCTCAGTGTGTAATGAATCATGCTGCACTAAAATTAGGGGCCATTAAATCCTTCAAACTGGTGTCTCTCAGCTTTCCTTTTACCTGCTTGCAGGATTTGTTGCAAAAGGTTCTTGACGAGGGAAATGGTGATGGGAACATCACTTAGCAGCATGACGAGACCGGAGTAACCGACCTCCCTCAGCTTCATGCGCTGCTTGCTCCTTTCATAAACCTTCTCACATTTCAGCATTCGCTCGAACATCTAATAACAAAAGGGAAAAAAGTACTTTAGTGAAAAACGTAAGACTTGGCAATCTCCCTTCTCTTTCATACTCCCATGAGGGCGATGATTTATCCTGAGTAAGGTACAGGCAGTACCACCTGCCACCTCGCACACAATGGCATTCTTCTCAGGGAAGCCCACTGTTAAACTTGTAATGTCCTGACGCCCTATAACCCACCCACTCCCTCCACTCTGCTAACCGATAACCTCATCCGACCACGCTTTCAACCTCTCTCCCCAAATCCCTCCATCTTGTTCCCTTGCTCTGCCTTCAAACCCTGTCAAAACTCTTTCACGGCACCTTTGGGTAATACAATATTCCTGCTGCTCAAAATAGTACATTTACCAATGGCCAGAAAAATCATATCCACATACATGCCTCTCAGCAGGCAGGGCCTCTGCCTGCTGAGATCAGGCTGTCCCTCTTCCTATTTTTTTAACTCGTACACTCCTAAAAAACAGGTTTATTAAGTGCTGCAAAAACCAACATATTGAAACAAATGTACCAAAGTCAGAATGTAACAAGGTTATTAATGTAATGTCTGTGGTTGTTGAGAATACAGGATGGTATGAAGAACTGAGAACAAGTAGCAAGTCATGCAGATTTCCCATAGTCTGATACACGTTACACAACCCTGATGTAGCAAGTTAAACATTTGTGTACATTTTGTCTGACATGTGAATTAACCAAGTACAATCAGACCCTGTGGTAACTCACCCGTGTATAGAATAAGACTGTCTAAAGTGTGGTCACGTTAATGAGGAATTGTCACATATTTCTGGCTTCCTACATGGAGAGGCATACAGCAGACTTTTGGTGTCTAACATTGGTCCAGCAACATCTGGAAACACTCCTGCGACTAGATGCATTTAATAGGGAACACAAAATACCTTGAAAACAAGCTCCCGCAGCTTGTCAGAGTACTTGCTGTTCAGCAGCAGCGAGTAGAGAATGTCGGCATGGCCTGGTTCAAAGAGCAGCAGGAAGAGCTGGTCACGAGCTGTACTCGTCTGCAGTAGGTTCAGCAGAATCTCCAAGATTCCACAGAGCTGGAAAACACAAAACATCTTCCGTCAGAACAGCAACATCTAATTGCAAAGAGTGCGATCCCTCCATCAGTATAGCAGCGCTTTAACGTCTCACAGAAAAAAAATTGTGGTGAAGAAGGAAAACAATAATGAGAAAAAAACCACAGTGCCTGGTTTGGCTTACCTGCTCCTCATCATTTATAGCAGCTATATATCCTATGATGCTCTGGACCTCCTCTTGGGTGACCCCTTTGTTGATGAAGTACTTAATGAGTCCATAAAGTGAAGCCCGTATTGTCTTTACATCATCCAAGGACAGGTCACTGTCTTTATTCGAGTTGCTGGAAGACAAGCAGAGAAACCCCGTCCACACAGTTAGTCATTTGCGCACCACACTGAAGGGATGGTAGTTTACACAGGAGAAGTTTGTTTTGAGTGAAGATGTCTCAATCCATTTGACCTCATCGTTCCAGAATAACCGGCTTGCCATCTTCACATGACAGTATGAGGCCACTTCTTAAATGTGTCCAGCATCCTGGCATCAACCATATTCCGGTTGTAAATACTCAGTATATCCTAAAATTACCCTTCACAACCCTAAACCCGTGTCCCTTTGACCTACTACCTCAACTATCTGAAAATGTTGTTCTGGGTTTACTTTCTCCATCACATTTAGCATCCTATAGACCTCAGTAATGCATCCTTTTTTTCAAGGCTTTTCAGAACCTTGGGACGTTCTCCTGATGTGAAAGGCGCTATCTAATTGCAATCTGATGTTGTTGAAAGAGGTCTACCATATCTAGTCATTTTTTCTACCCATCTCTCTTACATTTGGGATTATTATCATTACTCTCCTCCGCACTACTGTACCACCAAGTCTTTTGTTATGTTGACCATAACTGTGTGTAATGTTCTAGGTCAGTGCTTCTAAAATGCGTGACTATTAAACACATAGAGTATGGCAAATTAAAAAGGACTTACCCATAATACATACGGATAGTATCCAGCAGGAATTGCACACCATACTTCTTCCTGAACAACTTTCGATTGTCTTTGATGATAGTGGACAAATATTGAATATGACCTGGAGCAGAAAACTGGTTAGGCTTTTGTGCTAATTCAATAGAAAATTCCACTTGAATAGCACCTTTCATGTCAGGAGGATATCCCAAGGCGCTGGACAGTCAGGGATTTGGACCCGCGCGGGGAGGGTGGATGGAAATTGGGGTAAGGGAGAGTGATGGGCAGGAGGGTGGCCGAAGAGGAAGGTCTTGAAACTTGCCTTAATGGAGGCAAGGGAGTGAGCGAGGCAAAGGGAATGTGGGATGGAGTTCTGAAGGCCCGACCGCTGATGGTGGGATGGGTATGGTGGGGGTTGTGGAGCAAGCCAGAGCCTGCTGAACGTTGAGAGCAGACAGGTTGATAAGTCACTGAGCTAGGAGAGGGCAAGGCTGTGGCGAGGATGAGGATTTTGAACACTATCCTCTGAGGGATGGGGAGCCAGTGGAGCCATGCGAGGGTGGGGGTGATGGGGTCGCGGACCCTGGTGTGCAACAATAACTTCTTTAATAACACTGAATAGAAATTAAGAGGCTTCTGAACTCTAAAATGTTATTGGAGTTTATAGCCTAACCACCAAAGATATGGACTTTGCAGCAATGACTGATGGCTTGAGCAATCTCCATAAGCAGTTTTGCAGAGCTGTTTTGTACTATGAAAGCACTTAAGTAATAATCCAGACTTCATGAGTTGCTGGTTCACATCAGATTTGCTGTCTCACCTTGCAGTGTTTTACAAACAAAACACAGCATCAATGGGAGCAACATGCAATTCTGATATAAATCAACCTAGCTAGGTTCAAACCTGCATTGCAGAGGTGAAAATCCACTGTTCTGATACATTGTTAACCCACTCAGTTCTATCTACAGTAGGGTATATGATCCCAGTTCCCAATCCAGAGGAGAAGCTGTATTTTAAATAATCAATGATGATCATGTACCCGTCGATCATATCCAAACGTTTTGGACAGTAAACGTGCAAAGTATTTGCCCAAATATCTAATGAGGTAAACATCATCAGTTCATCCTTGGATTGACAAGTGCTCCGGGACGCTACCCCACGTGAAGGGCGCTTATATAAATGTAAGTTGTTGTTGTTGTTGACTGACTTTATGGAGAATTGGAAGATTGAAAGGCTACTCCAGTTCAGTCTGTCCAACACCCGATCAAACAAGAGTAAAGCTTCTGCTCCACAACAGCGCAAACATGAGCAGAAAGTATACTTGCCTATTCGGAACGGGAAGTCTCCATGGCTCCAGATACGAAAATCAAAGAGCAGGAACTGGTACATCTGATGTAGAAGCTGTGTGTTCTTCTCTATGCTCACTTGCTCAATCAGTAACTGCACAGCAACCAGCATGTTCACATCGGCTAAACCACTGGACACCTGCCAAAAAGAGGAAACCTCATATCTATATCGTGCGCAACTTAGGCATCAGGTTCAATCCCCAGTTATCCTTCCTCCCCCACTTCCGGTGTCTGAACAGGACCGCTTTCCTCCTCCTCCGCCACATTACCCATCTCCGACAATACCTCACTCCACAAGCTGCCAAATCCCTTGTCGATGCCTCTCAGGTGGACTACTCAAAAGCCCTCTCCGCCAGTCTCCCTTCCTCCACTATTCAAAATTCAACTCATGCAAAACTCCGCCACCTGCATTCTCACCTGCACTGAATTCTGCTCCCCAATTACACCAGTCCTTGCCAAACTCCACTGGCTCCCTGTCAGAGTGGATTGATTTCAAGATCCTCACTCTAGTGTTTAAATCGCTCCACACCTTGGCACCCAAATTCTCCAATCTCTTCCCTCCTCCCAGCAGTACCCACTGCCTCTGCTCTACTGGATCCAGACTCCTCCACATCCCCCGAATCCTCTGCTCCACCATCGTTGGCCGTGCCTTCAGTCACTATGCCCCTTGGCTATGGAACTCCCTCCCTCAATCCCTTCGCCTTGATCTCTTTTTCCCTATTTTTAGGTTGCGCCTGAAGACGTTCCTCTCCGACTGTGCCTATGGCCACCTTCCCCCTCCCCGTGGCTCGGCACCGGGCTTCCCCATTGTTAACTGCTCTGGGACGCCACCCGGCATGGAGGGCGCTATATAAATGCAAGTTGTTGTTGTGTTGCTGTATATCCTGTATGCTCAGAAATGCATCACTTTGAAAAACACAAATGAAGGCATATGGTGTGGAAAAGGATAAGGAAAAGACATTGTAAATGTACAAGAAGATGCAAAATGAAAAATGAGAATTCACTCATGAAGTCAGCAAATCATTTCACATATATGTTTCAGGGAAGTTGGGGTGTGGGGGCGGTGGGAGAGAGAGCGAAAAAACATTCTTGTGATTGCCAGGCCCGCTCTGGTTATGCTGATTTCTATATTATAAGAACTGGATATTAAAGGATATGCAGAGCAAGCAGGAGAATGGAAACTGATTAGGTGATTCACGTACAGCAAAACACCAAAGCAAGTGTGATGAACCAAATGGCCTGTTTGCATTCTGTACCATTCTGCAATTCTATACCAATCCTCTTTTGGTTACAGTAAGTTGAGCATGCAGGTTGTTGCCACGTTACCCATTGCAGTACATCTGGAGCAATAGAATGGAGGTCGCAATAATAATAAAAATTATCCTTGCTTTGAATCTAGAACCTGCAATGTCAAAACATATAATAATAATAATAATCCTTGCATTTGATATAGCGCTTTTCACGTCGGGAGGACGTCCCAAAGCGCTTCACAGAACACACTGTAAAGTGAATTGACTGTATATTTGTGGGCGAACGCGGCAGCCAATTGCGCACAGCAATGTCCCACAAACAGTCGCTTCAAATGTAACTGCTGTAGAGACTGTATTTGTAGGCAAGCAATATAGCCAATTTCCACACAGCAATAAAGTGAATTAGTAAGTTTATCTGGGAGATTGTTGGCCAGTACGCCGGGAGAAACTCATCTTTTTGAACTGTGTCATGGGCTCTTTGGCATCCATCTCACCCAGGATTCAGCTAGTCTCAGTGAGAGAAAAAAAGCCAACTTGTTAACTATGAATAAACAACAACAACTTGGATTTATATAGCGCTCTCCATGCCGGACGGCATCTCAGAGCACTTCACAGTAACGGATCCCGGGACCGAGCCAGGGGGAGGGGGAGGAAGGTGACCAAAGGTGCGGTCGAAAAGAAAGGTCTTCAGCAGAGACCTGATAATGGGAAGGGAGGGAGCGAGACGAAGGGAGTGAGGAAGGCAGAGCCTCGGGGCATAGTGGCTGAAGGCACGGCTGCCGAGGGTGGAGCGGAGGACTCGGGACGAGGAGGAGGCCAGACCCGGAGGAACAAAGGCAACGGGTACTATTTTGAGGAGAGAGGTCAGAGAGGTAGGAGGGTGCAGAGGAGCGCAGGACCTTGAATACAAGGGTGAGGATCTTGAAATCAATCCTCTCTGAGATAGGCAGCCAGTGCAGTCTGGCAAGAACAGGGGTGATTGGGGAACGGAGTTTCGTGCAGGTGAGAATGCGGGTAGCAGAGTTTTGAATGATTTGGATTTTATGGATGGTAGTGGATGGGAGACCGGCGAGGAGGGCATTGGAGTAGTCCAGCCGAGAGGTGACAAAGGCACGAACCAGGGTTTCAGCGGCTTTTAGGGAGAAGTATTGGCGGAGATGGGGTATGCGTCGGAGGTGGAAGAAAGCAGTGCTGGCGAGGGACCGGATGTGGGGGAGGAAGGATAATTAGGGGTCAAACCTGACACCTAGGTTGCGTACGGGTTCAGAGAGTTTTAGGGGGAGGTCGGGTAGGTGGAGGAGGTTAGAGCCGTGAGATTTTAGACATTGACGAGAGCTAAAGAGTATGGCTTCCATCTTGTCAACGTTCAGCTGAAGGAAATTTGCGCTCATCCAGCCCCTGAGATCTGACAGGCAGGCTGACAGAACATCAGGGGACTGGGGGTCCCAAAGAGAGGTGGAAAAATAGAGTTGGGTGTCGCCTGCATGTGGAAGTGTCCCTCATGTCTGCGGATGACATCCCCAAGAGGGAGCATGTAGATCAGAAAGAGGAGGGGGCCAAGGATGGATCCTTGGGGTACCCCGCAGGTGACCAGGTGAGTGTGGGAGGAGAAGCCGTTTGTGCAGATGTAGTGCTGGTGGTTTGTGAGGTAGGACAATACAATAGATTCTAGTGTCGCACATAATCCAGCATCTTGAAGGATCTGTAAATAAGGAGCCTAATCAATGTGCCAAATGTAATGCATGATTTGGGTGAATGTGGATGAGGGACCAAGATACCAGGCTATCTCTCTACTCTTCTTCCAAATAGTTCCACGAGATCTTCAGCAAATGTTAGTTCATAGAATGATATTTTTTCACTGTATGGGTAAGGAGCTCAGTTTTCCTCTTCAACCAGCAATCCTGATTGTATAACCTAAGTCTAATCTATGTCTCTAAAGCTTCACAGGAAGAACAAAAGACTGTGCAGCATCATTCTCTGGAGGAGTTAGAGGCCTGGCATTACACCAAGGCTTAGCCTGCAAAGCAATTAGGTTTTGTAACTAATTTGAAAATACAGAACTCCCTTACCTTCTGCAGCAAGGCACCTAAAGTGGCAACTCCATGGGAGTGAATCAGGTTCTCCTGGTTGATGGGATGTCTTCGGATAAAATGCTTTATAGTAAGGAGAAAGGTAGCTATGACGTTCTTTTCCAGCCTTGCCTCTGAAATCGCATACAGCAATTATCAGACTGCTGAGCCAGTGACACATTACAGTACATTATAAAACAAAGTTAGCAGCAAAGCAAGTACTAGATATTCCCCACTCGGTACTAACCAGTCAAAAAATAAATGTTCAAAATCTATTATAATCTCCCCAATGAAGTTAGTTTAGATCCATGAAGTAAAACTGGTCTAATTTAAACAAATAATTTAGTAATGCAGCATGGAAGCAAATAAACTGTTTGGTGCCCTCATGAGCACATCAGAAATGAAAGAAAAATAAAGGAGAACAAGAACAACAACAGTACATTTGTATAGCACCTTTCATATCAGGAGGATGTCCCAAGGCATTGAACAGTCAATGTTTCGGACCTGAGCTGTAGATGGGGATCGCGGAGGGTGGAGCGTGGGGGGGGGGGTCGGGGGGAGGAAGATGACCGATGGCATGGTCGAAGAGGACGCTGCCATGCATGGAAGGAGCTAGATAAGTGCAAATTGTTGTTGAGGGTCTTCAGACAGGTCTTGAAGAAGGCAAGGGAGGGGGCAAGTCGGAGGGACTGTGGGATGGATCCAGAGGGTGGTGGCAGAGTGGCAGAAGGTCTGCCCGCCAATGGTAGGGCAGGCGAGGGAGGGGACGTGCAAGGCGGGGTTCTGAAGCAGGCTTAACGGAGGGAGAGGGCAGGGTGGTAAGGGGTTAGGAGGTCACAGAGGTAGGGGGGAAGCAAGGCCATGGAGGGCTTTGAAAGTAAGGATCAGGATCTTGAACTGTATCCTCTGTGTAATGGGAAACCAGTGGAGTCGGGCGAGGATGGGGGTGATAGGGTCACAGAGCCTGATGCGGGAGAAGACATGCGCTGCAGAGTTCTGGATGGTCTACAGCCTATGGAGGGAGGAGTTGGGGAGGCCGACAAGCAGGGAGTTTGCGTAGTCAAGCCTGGATGTTATGAATGTGTGTATGTGAAGAGCCAAGTGTGTTTTTGCCTGAGTTGAGAAACTTCCTCTGAGAAACATAACAGTGACATTGCACCTTCCATGTTTAGATATCATGGCTAGACTTTCAGAGCAATGCTTCCAGGAAAGATTGGAGAGGGAAAGTGCAGGCAAGTAGCAGTGACAAACAAATGGATACTATAATCTGGTAATAGAGATCACTGGTAATCTGGTAATAGATACAAGACAGCCAAGACTATACAATGGAGTGCAAAATCCACCTTTAAATAAAGAACTTACCAGAAGCTCTAGTCGATGGAACCACCACCCAGTCACTTTCTGAAGGAGAATTTACGTCAGGACTCACAAAGTCAACCGCCCCACGACCATCTCCATTTTTCTCAGTGACCTGGCTTTCGAGGTTGCTAATTTGTTCCAACAATGGAAAGAGAACATTGAGCCCGCCAATGCAATTAATCATGTCCTGCAAAACAAATTGGAAAACATAAAATCAACTCCTGTGTTGTTGGCTACCTGTAGTTAGCCAGTTTGTGACGCAAATAGAATTCAAATCCAAATCCTGACAAGGAGGTTTACCAGTCCCATTGACACACTCAACTCAAATTCACATCAATACTGACGTACTGGTTTCCTTCCCTCAACAGCTGAGGTCAACTACTTTGCCAATGGAATAGAGACTTTGTCACAGTCAAGTCCCAATATGTGGTGGGGTTATGAAACAAAAGATTAGAAGCACATTACTCTAATCAGTAGGGACCTCTCATTGGGATATTATAGAGGATATGGCTCGGATGACAACAGGGGTTCTGTGATACTACGTTCTGGTTAAGTGGAAACAACAGAGGCAGCTTCATAACTGGGAAGAATGAGATTAAAACAACTCGAACAAAGCAAAAAGCTAAAGTAGGCAATCAAATTATTCTTATCAGGCAGAATCAAAAAATTAAACCTTTGATATGTTGTACAGATCCTTTAATAACCTACATTAACTGTTTCAACAGAATTATCACACTGCAGGATAAACCAGTGACTTAAAATGTGTATACTATTTCCCTGTTCAGCAATGGTAGCTTGGAAACCTCCCCAGAGTGCCTAACTCAATTACATCTATGGAAACAGCAATTAATACGGACGTGCTTACCTTAATGTCCCAATTGACCACTTTATGCCCTGTCAGTCGTCCATGAAAGAGATTCGGAGACAAGTCAAGGCAGATGGGACTCTTGCAGGCCTGTACAATTGCAGAAAGCTGAGTAACTACTCGATACAGATTGTGAGCACTGAGCAACCTTTTGCACAGGCCTAATAATAATAATAATAATAATAATAAGCTTTTGCTGCATTTAACAGAATGTTAATAATCCTTGTATTTGTCACAGTGACATCAGAAGGATATTTCAAAGTCTTTCAAAGAATTCATAATTATTAACAAAAAAAGTAATCCTTACATTTGATATAGCACCTTAGGTCATCAAGATGTCTCAAAGTGCTCCACAGGATTTATGTAAATTGTAGTGTTATTTGTATAATTGTGCAATTGTGTATTTGTACACCTGGAATTGCTTTTTAATGCGCCACAAACTGAGCAAAGCTAACAACCCATTTGCGAACATTATTAGTTCTTGAAACATTTTAAAATGTATTTTACGCCAATTCGCCTGAGAACTGTGGAGTTTCCCCACATTTCCTATTTCACAATTATAATAATAATCGTTACTTTTGCTCCAGCGCCTATTGCATCAGAGGCCACCTCAAAGTGCTTCACAGAATGTTCTGTAAAGTGTGCTTTGAGGGAGAAGGCAGCAAGCAATTTGTGCACAATAAAGTCCCAAAACAGCCAAAAGTGATTAACCAATTCTATTCTAAGGATTGTTGGCCAGGAGATCAGGAGAAATTCCCTTCTCTCTGTAAATAGTGTCATGGGATCTTTAACATCCACCTGAAAAGGCTTATATTATACGAGTTCCTTGTCCCAACGTGGGGCTTGAACCCCCTATTTTTTTGACTCAGAGATAAGAATGCTACCAACTGAGCAAAGTTGGGACACATTCCCAACTTCTGAGTGTGAATCCATTCTTATGGGAAGAACAGCATCATGAGCTAAATATACAACCTACTTTCGGAGTGTAGTGCAAAAGCAGTTTATTTGGAAGGTCTGCAAGCTCGGTATCCTGAGATTTGAATGGGGCAATGCAGTTGGGCCCTGTTGAGAGCAAAGAACAAGACATTTCACACATTCTGTAATTCCACCACTTCAGATCTTCATTCCTAATGTTAACAAAAAAACGTTCCCAAGATTAACTGCATTGTTTGCTATGGTGTGTGGAGGATGAGAGAGCGAAGACAAATGAAGGTGTTGCTGGCACAGTGCATCACCACAATTCAAGATGGACTGAGACGACATGTATCGGTGACACCAAGCATGTGTTTTAAAATTGTATGAGAAAAGCAAAAGAGGGAGATAAGGACATTGTCTGGGGAAGGATGAATTAAGCGTACCAGTGCAATGAGTTTTGATTTCAGCACACTAAGTATTCTAGACAAAGGGAGAGAATATTAACCAACATATTTAATGCTTGGAAGGAACAACAGAGTCTGAAGGAAAAATGGTCATGTCAGTGTCATTAAAAGAGGGTAGAAAGAGAGATTGAAAATCTAGGCCAGAAGAGAGAAAACAATATTAGAGGACAAGCCTTTATTCATGTCTTGTAATTTCTGGACACAAAATGGATGGCTACATGCAATTATTTAATAGAAATTAATTACTCACCTGCCAAATACAGCGCTTTGATTTGGGAGGGCTGCAGTGCATCATGAAAGACCAGAACAGATCCAAGTTGACCCTCCAGGGAAGTAGGGGATCCCCACTCGCTGTCCTGAGTTCCTGCCGAAATCAGTTTTGTGACTGACTCGGGTTTTCCCAGGAGACCACCCCAGGTCGGAGAGGAAAGCATCGCGCCCAAAGATGATCGTCCGGAGGAGGCAGACAACGAGAACGGAGGGTCTGGGATTTGAGAGGGAGGAGGGGTAGTAGTCCGGTGACCAGCTGATCCAATACAACACGAGGTAAAAGGCTGGGGAGGGGAAGAATCATATATTCTCATTGCCATTTTAGAAAAACTTGAAATCAACAATGACCAAGACAATTATCAATGGATGAGGTACAGCAGAAAACGACTGTGCTGGGGGGAGTTACTGAGTGCACTCCAGTGCTAGTGAATACTAAAAGAATGTTACCAGAAATTGTCAGAACCTCATCAACAGACACAGCACAGGAATAGGCAAACTAGAGCACTGTAAATTTGATCAATTGGGGGCAGATTTTGAAGATGGTGGCAACCATCTCTGAAGAGAGTTAGCAGGTAATCATATAACTTATGGTGACCTACTAAATAATAATACTTGCATTTAATATAGTGCCTTATCACATCTTCGAGATGTCTGTAAGCGCTTCACAGAATATATTGTATATTTTGTGGGCGAAACGCAGCAGCCAATTGCACACAGCAGTGTCCCACAAACAGTCGGAGATTGAGTGACCAATTTATTAGTTTTTTTTTTGAAGGAGTTATTACCCCCGGAAAAGCGATCCACCTATCGACTAACATTCGGGTTCCTACTTGCTGCTAGGTAAACAGAGCCGTGTGGAGTAACGAAACTTGCCCAAAATATTTTGCCTTGCTGGAAATTGAACCCAGGTCTCTTGCTTACGAGGCAAGTCCTCTAAACACTGACTCCACTCATGACTCACACTGGCAGTAAACCTTCTTGAAGCACAATATATTCCCATAATTTAATTCTGCTGTACACCACGGGGACTGGTTATTCCACTCAAAATGAATTTTTTTGCCTTTTATTTACAGCTTTACTGTGCAATTTCTATCACCTCTGCTGCATTCTGTTTTTAATGTGCGTCTATACAATCAACTCAATACTCTAAACTGAGAAACAAAAGAAACAGTAGTTTGAAACATTTGGTTTAGAAAGAACCTTACCTCATTAAAAGTAGGGCATTTAAGAGGTGCAGAAAGTTTTTGCTGCCCATTGACATAGATGTACACCAGACTGTGTCCAAAGGGACGTTTCCCTGGTACATGCAGCACTGCAATACCATGCTGTGAAACACACAGAACATCACACTTAATTTGTGATTGCACACATTAGTTTCAGGGCACCTCAGTATCTTTGTGTTGCCCGTACTTATCAAATTTACTTTAGTACAGATATGTACCCCTACACACACACACACACACATCTATTTATGGACACCAATCTAATGGCCAGGCAGAGAGAACTGAGTGTAATAATAATAATCCTTGCATTTGATATAGGGCTTTTCACGTCGGGAGGACATCCCAAAGCGCTTCACAGAGCACACTGTAAAGTGAATTGACTGTATATTTGTGGGCGAACGCGGCAGCCAATTGCGCACAGCAATGACCCACAAACAGTCGTAGATTGAAAATGACCAATTTTTATTGTTTTGGGTTTTAGAGGGATTATTATCAGGTGTGTGGAGTAAGGAAACTTGCCCAAGGTTTCGCCCTCTGCCTGGAATTGAACTCAGGTCTCTCGCTTGCAAAGCGAGTGCTCTAACCACTGAGCTACAGGACTCCACAAAGTGTAGTTCGTAGATCAAGTGTTTTGGGAATTTCATCTACATCGTAGATTTCTGGTTGCGATGCCAGCTGTAGTTTTACTGAACCATCCTTTTTCCAGTGTCCAACCACCTTTCTTGCAGGTGTTATAGGATGTGGAGCAGCTGAATTGAGAGTTCAATTTGGCTGCTCCTCAACAAGGACACAAGATCAACCAATGAACTGTTTTAGACTTGCATAACAATGAATTTGAATGCAAATCTCAAATGGGTTTATTCTGATAGCAACAAAAATAGCACCACTGGTGGTTTAATGAGCAGCAAAACTTCCTGAAGTGCAGAATATCACCTACACATTGGTGCCTCTGACAGTACCAGCTACCACTTTGTTTCAACATCAAATGGGCTGTCTCCACAGGCTAGCGAAGTATGTACTATTGAATCAATCTATAGGTTTCAGTAAAAGATAGCCACAAGGTGACCTGGAATCGGCTACATTTAGACCAGTTATGTCATGTAGCATTGATCTAATCTGTAAACCAGCTACTGGAGCTGGCCTGAAAATTAAACCAACGTCCATAAAACCAAAAATTAGAATAATAATCCTTGCATTTGATATAGCACCTTATCACATTGTTGAGATAGCTCAAATCACTTCACAGAATATATTATGACGTGAATTACTGTATATTTTGTGGGCAAAAACTAAAACCAAAGCTTATTACACCCATAGCGATAATTTAATGTGGGAAGAGCATCAGGTCAGGTGGATCCAATAAGTGTGCCAAGCTGAGCGACCACTACTATCAGATTCCGGTCTCAACACAAACACACACATTCATTTCAGAGAGCAGGAATCCAGCTCTTACCCAGAGGGAATCACAGAAGCAGTGATCAGGCAACATGACGGTCATATATTCCTTCTTTGTACACACTGCTACCACCAAAACTCCTGAGGAGGTGATAAATGCTTCAAATCCAGTCCCGCTGGCTGTGAAAAAACTAAAAANCAGGCGTGGAAGTTAAGATATTTGTATTGAGAGAGGGGAAAACATTGATCTGAAAAAACATAAGCTTTTGGACGCCAATTGTCGAAGTCACATAATACGAACACTTTGCTCTCTAGCATTAATAGTTCTATTAATCTTTCCTGCAGAGTGCTAGTCAAACAAAAACATTCAGAAAAAAATTGCCATTTAATATTGAATAACTTTTTTTTTTGAGTCCAGCACCTTGGGAAGTCCTCCTGTTGTGAAAGGTGCTATACAAATGTAATTTGTCGTAGTTGATAAGGCAGTAATTCAACCTTAGTTTTTTAATGATGCTTTAGCACATCTGCAGAAGTACTGCTATGCAACTCAGAACCAGCTAACAAAGTATATTGAATACATCAAATCATATAACATAGATACTGGCAATGCTATTTAAACTTTCTCACTCCACACTAACGTATGAACAGCGATCGCCCCCTTGGGACATCCTCCTGGCATGAAAGGCGCTAAATAAATACAAATTGTTGTTGCTGAACACAGTGCACCATGATGTGGAAATAAAAACCCACATTTGTATAGATGTTTTATCAGAGGAAATGATTAGATCCATATCACAAATAAAAAGCACTCAGGTCTGCGGTAAAATGATTTCTTCTATCACAACGCTACTGAATGAACTTGTTTTAACTTTGTTCTGACACCAAAACATCTATAAGTTAAATAAAACATGAATAGTACTTTTTGTGCTCTTCCAGGGTAATCTATGATATATACTGTGCTCTTTGCCTAGCTTCAATATTAAGGACTTGCAGAAACATGTACAATTTGGATAGATGCAGGGCAAAACTCCAAATTGCTAGTGAAACAACTCAAAAAAACTGGTGCAAACACATTAGTCAGAAACATCAAAGACAAATGGGAGTAACATCAATGCTGTAATCTCATTTGGGGGTTTTGACGATCATTGGAAACAGCTTCGGCTTTGTACCTTGGCTAATGGTTGTCACCTGAACATCCCAGTAAGAATGTTGCCTGCATTCACTCTCAAACAATTATTATTTTGCAATTAAATCTGAAATACTCTTTCAATTGTAACTTTACTATTGCTCAGTATTCTGTAAGGAATCAATGGAGGGACCTTCATTATTAGTTTATGCTGTTTATTTTATTCATTTTATTCAGCTTTGAGTCCAATCTGCTGTCGCCATGGATACGTACCATTGGCAACAAGGTTCATCACAAATACGGCCATTTATATTGCCATTACTGCATGCTTATCAGAAAAATAACTCAATGATATGTGTGACCGGCGCTCAATCATACATAAGCGCTTCACAGAATATAATAATAATAATCCTTGCATTTGATATAGCGCTTTTCACGTCTTCTAGACGTCCCAAAGCGCTTCACAGAATATACTGTAAAGTGAATTGACCGTATATTTGTGGGTGAAAAGCAGCAGTCAATCGCGCACAGCAATGTCCCACAAACTGGATTGAAGTGACCAAATTATTATTTTCTTTTTTGAAGGGATTATTATTGCCAAAAGCGATTCGCCAATCGACTTAACAACCAGGCTCCTACTTACTGCTAGGTAAACAGAGGCAAATAAAGGTATATAACATGATGGGAGGCATAGATAAGGTGGACAGGGAAAGATTAGTTGCAGTGATCAAGGGGTCTAGAACTGGACAGCATAGTTTTAAAATCATAGCTGAGGGGTTCAGAACTGAGATTAGGAGGCTTTTTTTTCCATACAGAATGGTCCAAGTGTAGAATCCTCTGCCACAGTCGGTTGTTAGGGTGGCAAACATGTGCATGTTCAAAACAGGATTAGACACATGGTTGAGGGAGAAGAAAGTTTCTTTCTTTTCGACCGAGCCTTTGGTCACCTTCCTCCCCCTCCCCCGGCTCGGCCACGGGATCCGTTACTGTGAAGCGCTCTGAGACGCCGTCCGGCTTGGAGGGCGCTGTATAAATCCACGTTGTTATTGTTGGATATGGGGAAAGGGCCAGAATATGGGACTAGAGATAGGATCTAGGATAGTCACATGTTTATAGGTTCTATGAAACTACAAATAGGCCATTTTCTTCTTGAAAACATTGGAATTATGAACATTTCGGAATGATACAATTATAATTACATTATTTATTATGCAATTGCCTGACTCCTAAACAGACCACATTATGACATTCTTGTTACATAGTACATCTATTTAAGATCATCATTCCTCTCCTTCATTCAAAACCAGATCTATAGAGGCAAAGATAGATGTGTTAATACTATTTTTAACCAGTCAGTGAATCAGTAACTGGAGGACATAATAATCCTTGTATTTGATATAGTGCTTTATCACATTGTCAAAATACCTCAAAGTGCTTTACAGGATTTACTGCAAAGGAGGAACATGGCAGCCAGTTTGCGCACATCAATATCCTATAAACAACCATGGAAGTGAATGTTCAATTTTATCTGGGGAATGTTATTTAAGAACTTTATTTTTTATAGACATGCCAAAAAGCTGAAGTTGCTATGAAGGCCCAAAAATTGAGGCAGAAACCATAATCATTTTTAAAAGGGAAACAGACAAATATTTGAAAAAGAAAAATATAGAGGTTATGGGAATCAGCAGCTCTTGCAGAGAACTATGATACACACCAAAGGCCAGATAACAATCAATAATAATCCTATATTTGATAAAGCATGTTTCACATCAGGAGGACATCTCAAAGCATTTCACAGGATTAAGTGTATAGTGATTGTGTATTCTGTAGGTGAACGTGGCAGCCAATTTACGCGTAGCAATGTCCCCAAACAGTCATGAAGAGAATTACAAATTTTATTTGGAGGGATTGTTTGCCAGAACACCCGGAGATACTCCCCTCTTTTTTGAACAGTGCCATGGGAAATTTAGCACCCACCTGAACAGGCAGACGAGTGCTCAGTTTAAAGTCTCATCCAAAAGGCATCTCCCACAATAATAATAATAATCATTGCATTTGATATAGCGCTTCTCAGGTCTTCTAGACATCTCAAAGCGCTTCACAGAATATGCTGTAAGTGAATTGACTGTATATTTGTGGGCGAAACGCGGCAGCCAATTGCGCACAGCAGTGTCCCACAAACAGTCCTGGATTGAAAATGACCAATTTATTTTTGTTTTGGAGTACAATGCAGCACCCCCTTCAGCACTGCCCTGCAGTGTGAGCCTTGAATACAAGTTTGATGTCCCAACATGGGAATTGATCCCACAGTCTTCTGACTCAGAGAAGAGAATGCTACCAAGTGAGCCAGGTTGACACAAAATGGCCCTTCAGTACTGGGAGGGGATTTTCATATTGTTGGCCTACCTGTAAAGTTGTTTCCTCTTGCCTCCTTTGTTGAACTGTCCACTAGTACGTTGATCCTGATCAAGACACATCCATGCATAGAAGCTAAAGGCATAACCAGGCCAGCGTTGAATAGTTGGCACCATGATCCCTGCCATGCTATGGGACAAGTTAAAATACTGTAGTGCATTATCCAAGCCTTGTTTCCGGGCCATGCCCAGCATTGCACACGTCATAGGAATCACATAGGGATGAGGTTGTTTAGGATCATCGGTCCTTAGTAACCTCATTGACTGGAATATTTCTCCTGAGCTGAGCGACTGGCTGCCCAAAGACCCCAGCAGTGTGATTAAATTCTCCGCACATGTGCGGTGCAGGTTGGCGTGGCAGTTCAGAGTCTCTAGGATCCGGTTCACTATGTTGGCGTTCACACAGAATGTTCGGCTTTGCCGGTTGATGCAGCAGATCCTCTTCAGCCAGTCAGAGATAAAAATCTGCAACTCAAACGAGTCCATCTCTGGGAGCCACTGAATGAGCAGTAGTAGTGGTTGGACATTGTTGATCCCCAGCATCCCAACAGAGGTGTGTTCACCTTCAACAGCCTGCAAGTGGGAAATAATGTGTGAAGTTCTTGAACTTCTGAGTCTCCCTCATAAGTCTATGTATGCGCATTATAAACAGCAGGAAATGTTACATTAAAAAGAGAAAGAGTTCTCTTTAATGGTAGTCTCTCTGAGTAGCTGGTTTAGCATTGACCATAGAAACCAGAAAAGCTGATAATTACATCAACATTGCCCCTTCTATCGCTTAGGAACATATAACAACTTAACTGAATACAGTTCCCACTGGACAGAGTTGAGGGAAACAAGAGAACACTACAATGAGAATGTTACAAGAAGCTATTTCCACTCTGGCACATGCACAGATATCAGAGGCAGAGGAAAAAGTCTAAGAATCAAACACAAGGAAGAATTTACCAGTGGGTGGTGACAGAAGAACATCCAAAGGAGATAACGATAAAACAGAGCAGATAATCTAATCTGAAATAGACACTTGGATCATGGAGAGGATACAGTAACATTTCTAAGTGAAGCCATTGAAACCTTGTAACCTGCACCAGTAGTCAAGCAACAATGGTAAACCATGCAATGCCCGAGGCCTTATAAAAATCCTGGTCTTCCATCTTACCATGTTCATCAGCTCCTTCAGCAGATCTCGTGATGGTTCACCCAGGGTCTTCAGGATCTCATACAGCTGTGTGTAACCAATACGCTCTTTAAAGACTTCCTGGTTTCAAAATGTAACAGAAAAAGTGTGAAACTGTTTTGAAATTCAGGTGAGTGCATTAACCAGTATTGGAACTTTTTTTTGTGTGTTACTGTGTAAAAAGAGAGGTTCTAAAACCTTCACTCAATGCAGTCTACTGAAAAGGAGAAATGGGTAACACAACAAAGAACAACTACAACAACTTGCATTTATTAGGCAAGTTGTTAAGGGGAAGCTCTTCAGGCATGACTTGAAGATGGGGAAGGACGGGGCAAAGTAGAGGGATTGAGGGAGAGTATTCCAGAGTTTCAGGGTATGGTGGCTGAAAGCACAGCGCTGATGGTGAAACAGCCAAACTGCAGTGCTATGAAGGAGTAAGATATCCGTTTGCAGGCTCACCCATGCTTTTATAAGGCGTTAATAATAATAATAATCCTTGCATTTGATATAGTGCTTTTCACGTCTTCTAGACGTCTCAAAGCACTTCACAGAATATATTGTAAAGTGAATTGACTATATATTTGTGGGCAAAATGCAGCAGCCAATTGCGCATAGCAGTGTCCAACAAACAGTCGTGGATTGAAGTGACCAATTTTATTGTTTTGTTTTTTCTTGAGGGATTATTATCAGGCGAGTGGAGTAAGGAAACTTGCCCAAGGTTTCGCCCTGCCGGGAATCGAACCCAGGTCTCTGGCTTGCAACGCGAGTCCTCTAACCACTGAGCTACAGGACTCCACAATGTGTGTTTAATAGAAACAGCTTCTTTCCCCTGCAAAAAACAATTCCAGTACTTACACCCATGTTGAAATCTTGGTATCCTCTAGGTTAGAAATATGTTATTCAATGATCCAGGGAATTGTTGGCCAAGACACCAATGAGTGGAAGTCATGCAATAACCCTCTTCACTTAAAACAAAACACACTGCCATTGTACTTTACAGTATATACTATGAAGCGCTTTGGGATGTCCTCCTGACGTGAAAAGCACTGTATCAAATATGTGGATATTTATTATTAATAATAATTTCCGAATCAAAGCACTTTGTATGATTTACTATCATGTGCACTGACTGTATTTGTGAAAGCAATCCAATTCATGCACTACAATGCCCCACAAACAGTTATAAAATGGATGACCAATTTTACCAGGCCAGACCAGGAGAAATTCTCTTCTCTTTTCAAATAGTGCCATGGAACCTTTAATGTCCACTGGAGCAGGCAGATGAAACCTCAGTTTACTGTCTCATGCAAAGGACGGCACCTCCAATAATGTAGTGCTTATCCAGCACTGTATTGGAGCATCAGCCTAGACTATGAGCTCAAACTTCAAACATGGGACTCAAACGAACAACCTTCTAACAGGTGCTACCAACTGAGCCAGGCTTATACATACTAAAGGGGGAGAAAATTGGAATGGATCATCTAGGACTACTTATGTGCACATCCTATTGAGCAGTACATAAAGTTTAAAATATCAGATTTCTAACTAGATTCCTAGAAAAGAGTTGCATATATGGTAAGACTCCTTCTGATAAACAGAATTTTTTTTAAAAGAAAAAAAATGCATAAAGTTATACTGTTGAGGGAAAGAAAATGCTACTTATGGTTTTGGGAGCAGGAAGGGAACCTATTTTAAACAGTTAAATTCAAAGTAAAATATCACCAATCTTCAAATAGCTGACTGGAGATTTTGATTTCTCCCCAACCCTCACATTCAGCTTACCTTAGCAGCTGGAGATTTGTGCATCACTGCAGTCAAAGCTTTGATCGTAGCTACAGCCATGATATCCAGGCGACCTTGAAACACCTACAACAGTAATTCAACCATTAAACTGGAACTTGCAAAAGCTATGATGACAGGAAAGAAGTGAGTGCTCATTCCCCAGCTCCCTGTTATAAGACTAAGAAAATTGAAGATTAACACCAACAATCAAGACTTGACATTGAGTCTTCCAACTAGCACTGAGCTTAGCACACAATAAGTTGCAGCTCTTAGGGACATGTTCAAGAGATACTCATCAAAATTTCTGTTGGTTGCTCTTCTTTAATGTCAGAGTGAATTCATCACCTTATACGTGCAAGCGTAGGTTTACGAGGTTTACGCAGTTTAACATTGCTCTTCAATTTTTATAAAGACATTATGTTACAGAAAAGCAACATCATTTACCAGTCAAATTTTTGACTTTCCTATTTGGTTCAAGACCAGCTAGTGCAGAAGGTAGCTTCTGTTTTTATTCAAAACCAACACAAACCGAATGCCTGTGACAACTTTCTGTCAGATTACGAAGTACATCACACTTCAAATTTGACCCTCGACCGGAATGTGTCTGACAGTAGTCTGAAAGCAGTCGAAAAGGCGATGATTTAGATTGGGCAGATTGAAGACAAGTTTCACCAGCCATTACTTAGCTTTCACCCAATATATTTACACTGGAGCCTTTTGCATGATTCTCCTACTTTTGCTATTAATATGTTTTACAAATTGTATAGCCAGAACCAATGCTCACTTTTGTACTATAAGAGTACTAGTAGGAATGACAAGTCTTGACAATACCCAAACCAACACGCAACACAAGCTTCCAACACATTATCTGCAACAAGAAACCATGATGCATGCTACAACAATTCCCATCACTCACGTACAGTAGTGCAGCTGTGTTAATATAGAGCCCAGTAAAGACAATGTGCACCATCACATTTACAGCTCGCTGTCATTTGTATTTGTTTAAATACCCACTTTGCTTCTAACATGCAGCAGCTATAGTTACTATGACAAACATGCTCACAAGCACAATGGAAAGGGAAACATTAATCCATAAAATATTCATTCAGAAAAGTTGCATTTGGAAATTCAGAATTTTTGCAATATTTATAATCAATATGAGGACAGCAGAAACATTTATATTCCTAATATATAATTATTATTATCAGTTTTGGGAAAAAGAATTCCTAAAGGTGCTCTGATTCCTTCAGGCTTCAACCGGCCTATGAACCGATGGGTATCAGCTGCTCTGTGGTACATTCTCCCAATTTGTCATTATTTAAACCTGAGGCCACAGGCCCTTGCTTCCACCAGCTGCTAGCAGTCAATTTAGCAAAGTTCAGAGATTAAACCTTTTCCATAGGCTGCAACAATAATTTTTTNATATAACGCATCTCCATAACCAAAAGTTTCTTTTGATTAAGCATTCAGCCAGTCCTCGGAGAGTCATTCCCTTCAATCCCCATGGAAACGGGATTGACTATTCAGGATTGACTATCGCACTTACCTAGCCATTCATAAAGGAAAGGTCTAATTCATTGGAAGATCAATTGGCTGCCGCGTTCGCCCACAAATATACAGTCAATTCACTTTACAGTCTATTCTGTGAAGCGCTTTGGGACGTCCTCCCGACGTGAAAAGCGCTATATCAAATGCAAGGATCATTATTATTATTATTATTATGAAGGAAAAAAATGAAAGGGGGAAGACGAATCATGTAGTTCTTAATAATACAAGGAGAACTCAATTATAGGATTAAATTATTAAAAACAAAGAATAAAAGAATCAATTCTGAACAGTTGGGTTTCAATGAAATGCTGCTGCAATCCTCAGAATCAGTGAATGGAATCAAGAATTAAATGAACAGTTCAGCAGATTCAAGGCTTGGCCACACCTGCTCAGGAACCCGGGTCACTTTGTTATACAGCAACACTGACTGGAAACAAATTGATGTTTTGCTCCTCAGTCTTACGCACTACTCAGCTCGCTAGTCAGAGTAATTACCCGCCCACCACCACAATGCAGACAAATCAAAGGCGGTAAACCCCAAGTTAGCAGCACTCGGAGCAGCCATGCAAGTATCGTACGGCGTACAGCTCTGCCATTTCCCCCACAAAATAAATGCAGTATGTAATTTGCAAAGAGGTCATATCAAAACTAACTGCTACCTTTGGTAAAAGAGTTATAGCAGGTAGTGTTTTTTCAACAAATGCAAAATAGGAATGTGAGCTTGGATGAGCATAGATTGATAGGGGCTTCCCATGTAAGTGTTAAGTGACGTTTATAAAGCTCATTATTGAAATACGAACAAGTCAATTTATATATAAATAATTATTTTGAGTACAGATATACATGAATTCATTTTTTCTGGGGAATGAAAGAGACCAACGGCTTCCTCTGGTAGTTGACCAGGTACTCAATTATACTGTGTAATGCCAGTGTCGTTCACTACAGCTGGAGGGAGGAGATCTCAAGGACAGGAAAAGAGAGAGGATGACTGGTTGTGTGTTCATGTTTGACAACAGGGGACTAAATACCAGATTTAATCTGCTATAAAACTGGCACTGTAAATTGGGCAAAAGTGACTCACGACTGCTTTTGATGCTCAGCAGATATGTTCAGAGTACAGCTAAATACGACACACAGGCAACATTTGTGCTACTTTGCTGGTGTTTAAGCTCTTTAATCCAGAATGAGGATTAATCACGTGGCTTCACTTATCTAATATTTACAGAATTTTAAATTCTACCCTTCCAAAGGTATCCAAAACTAACAAGGAAGGTTATTTGGCACTGACTTCAAATGTTTTAGAGAACGCGCTCACACACACAGATTTGCACTATAAATGGTTTGATGGATACTGGACCAATTGTTGTTCCAGACACATAGTGATTAAGACCAGTTTCACTGCAGAAAAAGTTCTTTACTCCTCTGTATTTTTTTAAATGTGGTAAGACGGCTGCCTGCACAAGCAAATTCTATCCCTTTCTCATAAAAAATAACAGGATATGCAGTAAGGGAGTGACCTTCTGTAACAACCTTTTAATTTTACACATGCCCAAGCATCAGCAAAATTCAAAACTAGTCTCACCATTTGCCTTACAGTAGTACCTCTGAAGGGTTTTTATAATCCCTTGGCTATAATGAGGCTTTGGTTGGATTGTAACTGGAAGGATAGTTAGCTCAGATTTGCAAAACTGTGGGATGTGTTGATGATTATTGGAATAATTGGTTCTCAAACAAAAAGAAACAGGTAAGAATAAAAAAAAATAGGCAGACACTTTGACTGAGTTACCTTTTTGTTTATGACTTAGTAGTATAACATTTTGCAAGCCAACAAGGGAGCATTTATGCTAGAGTGTGATGGGAAGGTAAAGGGGAGATGGTGGAAAAAAATATTGTTAACAAATAAAAGGCATCCATTGAAACATTTGTGGTAATGTAACATCTGTGTATAATTCATGAAGAAAAACATATTGGCTTTCCTTTTTTCGCCATTAGGCTGTAACATTGTATAATATTGGTTTGAAGCGAGGGGAAACATGTTATTTCTGCAAAATAAGTAGAAATATTTTCTTGTTCACTTCTTATATTCAGCCTGGCACATTGACAAAAAAAGTGAAGGAGCCTTTGATTTGTGTGATTAAGTCACTAATCGCCTGTTAAATCACTAACCAATTGGTCCCAACAATTATAGTTGTGCCATAATTGTGGTTAAGCCTGTCTGATACATACTGGCATGGCTGCTCCTATTGCTGGTCATTTACAACTGAAACAATGATTCAGTTAATACCTGGTTCACATTCATTTCTGTCAGTAATTTGTTGGCAAGATCTTTCTCACTCTTGTCTGCTGCCTTAGAACTTACAAATAGCTGTTAAATGAACACAACACAAGCATGAAAGGCGCATACAAGTGGAATTATTACAGTGGGGGCATGGTTCTCTGAACATTGTTAAGAAGGAAGAACCATGGTTAGCCAACTTAAAGCAAAGATTAGTTCAATGAATTGAGAACAAAGCAACCCAATCAGAGATGTTCAGCAATAAATTTGTGGTAAACAATGTGGTCTAAACTGCAATATTCGCAAACAGATTCGCAAAGGGACTCTGGACAGTTATTGCGACAATGCACAGGAACTCAGTTTTAATTGTAGGTTGTGTCAGAGTCCCACATCTTGGTGTCAGAGTCCACATCTTGGAATGTCATCCTTCCATTTACCAGGATGAGTCTCTTTTTGAGACTCAAAATTGTTATTTGATCATTAATTTGCAAATATCACAATAGAACATGATTCCATGTCATGCTCTGGTCAGATTAAAATATGAAGCACAGTACCAAGAGGTCAGATACATCAGTAGGTGGAGTAGGCAGTTATCTTCCACGACAGCATTTCATTTAACAATTCCGCAGAATACTGTAGTTCCTTTTAAAGTTTGTCCAGAAGCTCCGTAGAACATAATAAGCAAAATACAACAGTACTTCATGTCTTAGATGCCTATACATTTCCAAACTGTGGTAATACTGACAGTCTTGATTCATTCATTACATTTATTGCAATTGGAAAATTTAAAAACTGCTCTTAAAGAATAGTGGACAAAGGGAGCAGTGCTGCATATAATGCTTAATATTAAGTCTTCTTTGCAGATCAGTGTGGTTTTGTTTTGTAACTGTGACAAGCTGGATTGCCTTTAAAGTTATACATGTGCCTATTTTTCACACTCTCCCAAAGGGCATGTCTGCTGTTATTTCTTTGGGTGATTCTCACAGGATGAGTCAATGGGTGAAGTCGGAAAAACATACTGTCTCGAGGATTGATCCCACCTCCTCCATTTCTCAGTTTCTCAGCATGTAAGACAGCACATCAGGTATTGTGCAAATTACATTTTCAGATTAGAAATGCTATAGAATATTTACTCCTAGCCTATAGATATCAAAGGTTTCATCACTGATTGCGGATGCCTTTTAATATCAGTAGCATGAGGAAGAAAACTGTGATATAGGAATAAAACTGGATGGGAGGGAACAAGTAGAAAGATAGGAGAGTTAGATCAGTTCTATTTTAATAGTCATATAAAATAGAGCCATTTATTGTAGTTTTCAGACAATTGTGGTTTAAATGTCAGAATGTGATGGTTTTACAGAAAATAAGATATCAAATAAAACTGCAACATAGGGTAGGCAAGCAGCTTGAGGCCGAAACAAAAGTAGAAGAAGAATTGGGACAGAATCAGTGGCAAGCAGACAGAAAGTTCAAGGGAAGAACGATGCTAAGCAATTAAATAAAACATGTTTAACCTTTTGACGTTAAGGCAAATTCTACCTATATACACACACATACAGCTGCGACACAAATGATATGAAGAGGAAGAGTTGACTCTTAAAGAGGAGCTCAGTTTGATTAAACAGTGGCCAAAAGAACCTATAGTACAGTTGGCCAGAAAGAACATTCAAGATGTACAGCAATCTGTAAGGACAGTGAACCATGTACCATTTTACAGCCCTTAGCTTAAAAAAAATCACTCCTTTAAAATCTGCACTTTTTTTTGTTAAACACACACAGGCTTCTAACTGGAAAAAAGAAATTCTAAATCAGAAAAAGATCCAAATAATTCATTTCCACATACTGCATTATGCACCCCATAACACACTATGCATCCTCCTAAATGACTCTGTGGATTTATTCTTGAATAAATTCTCAGCAATGTCAGATTGTAAGGCTGTCATGTAAATTAAGTTTTGTTTATCTTAAACCATACAATTGCCATGCAGTTTCATAGCTACATTGGCACGAAAAGTCAAAACAACCACAATTTGACAATCGAAAACCTCTTATGTTTTCAGACAGGCTCTATGATATTTAGCTGTGAAGCAATGTTAATGCATCAGCTTTGCTTTATTTGTTGAGCAACAAAGTATCAGGAAATTTTAGAACTGAACTAGCGCAGAACAGTTTACAGCATTAAATTGACTGCCTGGTGCTGTCAAAATCACTGGTCCACATCCTAAAGAGACTGCCTTTCAAATGGAATAGCTGAGTTTAAATTTCAACCATAATACCCTTCAAGCATTAAATATTTATTCAATATTAAAAAAGGCAGTGTTTTGCCTTGTAAATTTATCCAAATAAAAAAAATCGAAATGCTGTACAGTGAAACTGAAATCAACGAGGATGCTCAAAATGGAATGCTTATTTTATGGTTAAGTTCATTTGACTTTGGAAGTATTAAAATACAGCAAATTAAGTGCTGCAGGGAAGTGTCTTTCATGACAGAAGAACATCTTAAAGTCTAGCGATGGTGTTTTTTTAGAGGCAAACATAGGCGACAATTCAGGAGACACACATACACTTTGGAATGTCTGCTTCAAAGCTTATTTTACTTTAAAGTGGAGAGTTTATTAAATAAGTATAATCACCATGATTAATATAGGGAAATCAGAACTTCTTGAACGGCTGGGAATATCTGATTCCAAACACTTCCCCACCAATTTAATGTTGGGGAAACACATACCATCTAAGGATAACTGCAAAAGCCACCACAGCCAGTGATGCAGTACAGACATAGCACAATAGAGTGATTGTGTCACCAACAATGTCAACTGATACAAATCAGTTACGAAGACAGAGTGGACGAGCTGCTACAGTATGAGGATACAAGGGGATACTGATTGCTCCCCAGATAAATGAACCTGATCTCAAAGGAAACCAGAACAGAAACCAGCTCCTCCCCTTCAATTGGGAAGGAAGCCATGAAACTGCTCTCAAGTACATCTCAAGTATTCTTACTGAGAGTAGCAATGCTGACAGTGGAACGCCATGACCAGCTTTTCATCCGGACAAAGAGGCAAACAGCAGAAACTAAGGGGCTTCAAAATGTAAAGCACTAAAGTCTGCTCTGAAGGGATATATGGACCTATCCTGAATAAAGTGATTACATGTAGGAATCATCCATTCACTCGGACGATATCCCAATTATGTCCAATTAACAATACAACAGGATTAAATCCGCACTGCCCGAGTACCTCCCAGTCAAGGCACCAACTCAGGAGCAGCAATCACACATCACTAGAGTAGATTTGGGACAGAAATCACTTCAGATCACAACATACTTTCATTCCTTTCATAAACTGACAAGAAACCCCCCGGGAGGGACTGAGGCCTTAATTTGAATTATAATGCAAAGAATCACTTGTGTTAGCTGCAGCCTACCTTGCTGTTCTGTATAAGTCGTGTCAGGTGTTCAAAGCAGTTACTATTCAGAAAGATGGCCTGGAGGACAGGTCTGTCAGGGCAGTTTAATATCTGTGGAATTGTATCTGTGGAGAGAAAATCCAGAACATCAAAAATTTTCAGTGAAGCAGACTATAAATCAGTCTCTAAGTACCTGTTTTTCCGAGACATCTTGTATTCTTCAGCATAGGGTAATGAATTGATCAACAGAAAGTCTGTTTTCTGCCCTCTTTTTATACTGGGGTACAATTTAGGCTAGTAGAGATACATAGTTACCCTGCCAGCTAATACAATTCCTAATGGATCCAAGGGAAAAAACAAGTGGTTATATAAGATGAGCTGTGCAAGACTAACAAATAGGATCAAATTATGCTGTGGGACCACACTGGATTGTGAACCAAGACTATAGGATACCTTATAGCCATCAAAGAAAAGACTTTCATCTCATTCAGTCTGGGTTGGATACGATCCAAGTCTCCTGAGGGAAAGGACAATGGGATAGCCCATGCAAGGACTCAGCCACTGGGTGGATTTTTTAATTGACAGTGACCATTACTTCCCTCTTCCATTGACATCTATGGTGATTAACAGATATCTTTCCACTCCTACTACACCTGATAAAATAGGAAGTATGCCAGAAGAATGCTGGATGGTTTGCCCCCAGGTTTCACCATCACTCCTTTGCTCTATGTTGAGCAGCGTTAGAATTGGAAGTTCTCCACAAGGGAATATTCTGCAAGCAAATCCACAAATATTCTATGTGGCAGTGTATTCGTTTACTGATAAACTGCATTGCCTGTAAGCAAAAAACACCCACGTGTACTTACTCAGCATTTGTATTTGTAGTGCAATAAAACTGCTCTCCCAGTTCCGAGATTTGCGATTAACCAGCAATGCAGTGTGATCGGAGTTGAGCAGCTTGAAGTAGTTCTCCAGGATAGTGCTGATCTCCACCTGTCTCTGATCAGAGCTGCTGGTAAGCAGTACATGAACCACCTCGGTCAGGCATTTCAGGGTCAGCTCCAATTTATGACTCACATCATCCGGATCCTTGTCATCCAATAAATCGCAGTCCGCCAAAACCCGCATCAGGACTTCCATTGTAGCTGGAGAGATTGCCTGGAGCGCATTACGCTGAAATTACACCAATAGAATCATTTTCTTTAAAGAAGACACAGAGCTTGGTGCATAGATACATTTACAATAGATCACAGATGCCATTTTTCATTTGCTTTGAAAAGGTTTCACTGTTTACAGTGCTCATAGCAAGGTTGTGAAAGGCCACTACTTTACTGTTCATAGCATCAATCACTTTCAAAGTTCTGGTCCAATCCATCACCCCAGTAGCATTTTACAGCATGTCCATTTCCCTGGGTATCCCCTTGCCCGTCTTGTACATTTCTGGATCTCTGCACTTTAGTTATTGATTTGGCGTTGCTTCACACGCTTCTGAAATCAAAACTCAGCACCTCCTCACTTCCCTCAGTTTTCCCTTCCTCCTACAACCTGCAGATTTCCTAAAAACTCATGCTTGGCTTCAACAAACCACTCTTTGCCGAATCATTTGTTTTATCTCCTACTCTTACCAATTGACCTTGATCCCTTTCCCCTGGACTTTCAGAAACAAACACATTTGAACGAAAACGGCAATGCTACCAGAATTTCTTCATATTACTGCAGCACTCCATTCATAAGTTCACTGAGCTCCCATTTTTTAGTAAAGTACTGAAATGCATTTTCTCTTCCTGAGCATTCTCTAAAGCAGCTTACAGATAATCTGCTCATGTGTTTGTATGCTTTGAAAATAATTGATTCAGCCCACTGATTGTACACAGGGTCCCAGTACGATGAAATACAGAACAGCAGGATTAGATCAACACACTTTTTTTTCCATCTGGTACAGACCTTGCAGTTTGGGAGCTGTTGTCCACTTAGGTAGAGACTGAGGTCTTTCAGAATATAACTAATTATATAAAGAAAACTTTGTATCTTGAAGATAGTTCGAGCAATTAGGGAAAAGCAATGGAAGAAGGAATGGAATGTCATTAAAGAAAATGAATGAAAATTAAATATGGAATCACTGATATTTTCTGGCTTTAAGATATATTGTTGCTATACAATGTTGTAGGCAGCATGAGGGGGGCTATATAAATGCAAGTTGCTGTTGATCCAATTAATTGTAGCTCCCACTGTCCTACCTTTCCTTCTCCTCCCTGCCCCTTTCTACTTCATTCCTTTCATCAATCTTATTGTCCGCCATAGGAAAAGAGAGACAGTCAAGCTCATAGATCTACACACAATAATGCATAAAAATTGCTTAGCCTCCAATTGTGTGCTTATTTGGGATTCAGAAGTGTTATTCAGTGGTAGCACTAAATGCTTCTAAGAAATCAGACACTCCGTGTTCTTCCACATGGAAGAGGTTGTTGCTGGCTTTATCTATCATCAGGGGAGCCTGTAATGAGTTATTAAACCATTCAATTGGATACTGTTCCAACGGGCCTGCCATAGTCAGCTCGAATTCTGCCAGTGCTTAAATCAGCATTTGGAGATAAGGGTGACTGGACTGGAAGAATCAGTGTAATGTGTGCTTATCATCAATCCCCACCCAGCAGCCTGTAGATTATTTTTGGTTTATTTATTTTTGCTATAGAGGCAGTACTGAATTTATTTTTGGTTAAGTCAGTTATTCTTTTGAGAACAGTTTTTCACAACTCCTAAAAATACTTTAGATTTTTCCATTTGATCTTGATTCTATATTTACGGTTTAGTCCCGTTCTTATCATTGCAATTTCTCCTTGGTGGTGTGGTGCAGTGCAGTGCCCTGCTGTATCTCTCATCTGTGAATGCGATGTGTTCCCTCAGCTTCACTTCCTTCCTTACCTGTCCTCCAGCAACAATAGCACCAAAGAGGTGGAGCAGACAGCACTTGAGACTCTCCTTGAGATGCTCACTTTCTTGGAAACATTCTGAAAAACACAGAGAAGGCAAAGTTTGCTTACAATGAAACACACTTCCTATTCTGGCGAAAACATGAATGACAATAATAATCCTTACATTTATTATAGCACCTTTCACTTAAGGAGGAGGTCTCAAAGCGCTTCACAGCTCATACTGCAAATTATAGTGACTGTATTTTGTGGGCGAACACGGCTGCCAAATTGCACACAGCAATGTCCCACAAACAGCCATGAGGTGAAAGACCAATTTTATGTGGGGAGAAGCTGGCCATGACACCAGGAGAATGGTGCCATGGGAACTTCGATGTCCACCCGATCAGGCAGATCAAGCAAACCATTATAGGAGCCATTTACCATGGCTGAGGGAGAGAAGGAAAGAGCAAGTCTCCCACACCCTGAAGTCTAGGTAACCAACACATCTATTTTAAAGCACTGTGGAATATACATTGAACAGAATGCAGATAAAAATATTTAAAATATTTTATTTGCAATTAGCCCTAATGACAAATGATACTTGTTACAACAGCTTAAGCTGTCATGATAAAGCTTGAGTTAGGTTTTATGCATGAGAATTTCCGAGATAATGTAATCCTTTACCTTTCTACAATAATTTCCATTACCTTCATTTTCCTCCTGAATGTGCACGATTCTGCCCCATGTAGTCATATTCCATTTGAAAGTTTTTTTATCCTTTTTCTGTTATTTTAATTTCAGTTTTCTCCTGTAATATTTTCATGCCATCAATTTGATGTGAAGAGGAGCAGAATGTACAACAACAACCTGGATTTATATTGCGCTCTCCACGCTGGACAAATCAGATCTTCCTCTGTAAACTGCTGCAGCTCAGAGCACAGCGGCGTGTCAAAGCACAAATTTATTTACTAAGTGAAAGGTGTATGGTGTTACTACAAGCTGCTGCTTTGGAGATATTGTTGGAAAAAACACTAACCTCATGAACAATCTGTGTATACGCATTAGTGTGTGTGTGTGGGGGGGAAATGGCAAAGAAAATAATCACATTGGTCAACCGTATTCCTGACTTGTGCTGCAAGGTGGACACAAGTAATAGCTGTTATCAGATTTACTTTGCTGCCATTGGGGTTGTACTCTTTAAACCCATGAGTCATGCTGATTTGATAAATGGATGATGTCAGGATACCTTTTTATTTAAAAAAAAAGTCACTCTGCACTACATCATGTCAGATGGTTCTTTGTATCAGATTTAATGTAAATCGAGATATATAACCCAGCAGTTAACAGCAACACATACACATTTTTCTTCCAAAGCTACCTGGATTTTATGTTCTTCTCTCTCATAAGGATGCTGTTGCAAAGAGAACTTCAAACAGATCACACAAAAGCCATTGTGGTTATGCAAATACTTTTGAATAAAATGTTGATATAATTATTATAAACAACAGCACCAAAGTTGAATCCTTCAGCTTATCTCAAGGACACCACTTGCCCTATCCCCCTATCCCCCCTACTCCACTGGCTCTTTCCCCTAAAAATTCTCTTTGACCGTGCCTTCAGCTCCCCTCTCGACTCTCTTCCCCCTCCTCGCTCCCTCCCTTCCCTCCCCTCACCCTGACCATTTCCCCCCTCCTTGCTCCCTCCCTTCCCTCACCCTGACCATTTCCCCCCTGCTCGGGTCATGACCCAACTGTGCAGCGCCTTGGGACGTCCTCCTGACGTGAAAGGCGCTTTATAAATGGAATCTTGTTGTTGTTGTATGAGAGGAGCTCAGCGATAGAAAGCTGATACTGTTTGGACCTTACTTGTTGATAATGAGAGGGAAAAAGAACCTACAATGAAACATCATGGAGAAAAAATAATTGCTACACATGCTTTCCCACCAAACAACTGTCAACTCTGATCAATTTGAAGAGTAATGCTTTCATACAAACTTAGAACATAAGAACCTAAGAAATAGGAGGAGGAGTAGGCCATTCAGCCCCTCAAGCCTGCCCCACCATTTAACAAGATCATGGCTGACCTTCTAATCTAATTCCATTTATCCACCCTAGCCCCGTATCCCTTAATCCCTTTAGTTTTTAAAAATCTATCGATCTCAGTCTTGAATATATTCAATGACTGAGCATCCACAGCCTTCTGGGGTAGACAATTCCATAAATTCTCTAGCCTTTGAGTGAAGAAATGTTTTCTCAACTCAGTTCTAATAACTGAGCATGTTTACTCGAGAAAACCCACCTGGCAATAAACTTGTGTGTGTTTAATCATTTTGTGCTTTTAGTTAACTGTGATTTGTGAAGGATCCCATGGGACATGAAGGCAACCAGCACTGGGAAACTGGGAAGAGAAAACCCACCTGGCAGTTTATAATGGTAGCCTCCAAACTGTTCCATAATCAAGTGGTGGTAAGAATGGATATAGAGAAAAAGATGGAAAATGAGATGAACAAGAAGAGCAACTTAAAAAAAATATAGATATCAATGGCACAAATAAGAATGACCAAGCAACCCCCTTCAGGGTTGAAAATGTACTCTGAGATAATCGTGGTGACTCTCAGTTGGTATTCTGGTTTGATTTGGTTATATTTGATAACCTTAATACCAAAGATATTCAGCTCCCCGACCCATCTAGATTCCCTTCCATACTCTAAAAGTAACACAAGCACAATGTTATGATACACAGCAGAGCTGCGCTCACAGAACAATCGCAGAAGCATCTCTTGCCCTCCTCCTCCCCTCCACAAACATGCTCTAATTAAACCCTGGAGTCCCAATCAAGCCACACTGCACCAGGCTGTGCTGTTTCAGATAGACAAAACCTCTTTGGCTGCCCTTACAACACGCAGCAGTTGCCCAGATGTTTTGAACTGACATTAGCCCAAAGGTAACTTCGCCTTGTTCCCTTCCTTGCCTCCTTCAAGGCACGACTCAAGTACCTCATTTTCAACCGTGCCTTCAGCCGTCCTCCTACCTCTCTGCCCTCCCTCACCTCAACCCTGCCCCCATCACGCTCGGGTCCTGATCCCCGACTGTTCAGCATCTTGGACGTCCTCCCGGTGTGAAAGGCGTTTTACAAATGTAATTTTGTTGTTGTTGTACCCTGTTCGCATGTCCAGTAAATCTCAGTTGATCTCATTCCTGCTCTGGTTAGGTAGACAGGTGTGCATTACATTCTTTTCAGTACTTTTACATGCGTGAGCTTAAAGTCTTAAATGACTGGTTATCTTTATCGTGCAAGGTGTGTCATTACAGTTGCAGTATACGAGTTATTCTCTGTCCTAATAATCCTGCAAAGAATGAGGAGCTATATTTAACAAGGGCATTATTTAAAATACATAAGCCATGATCATTTAAAAGCTTATGGCTGTGTGCAAGTCCCATTTATTTTCTCCCTCACCATCTTGCTCCTCACTTGCAATTTAATGTAAAGAGCAGTGCCTATGTATTTTGCAGGCGAACATGTGACACATAAACACCATAAAATGTCCAATTTTATCTAGGGATTGCTGTCTAGGACACCTTGAGAAACTCTTCTCTTTTTGAATAGAATAGGATCTTTCATGTCCACCTGTATAGGCAGAAGGTACCTCGTTTTAACGTGTCATCCGAGAACGGCATCTCCACTACTACTCGATACTCTTGCCCCCATCATTTCCCGCACTGTCTCCTACTCCCGCTCCTCCCCCTGGTACACCACCCACCTCCGCTCACTGAAATGCCAGGTGCGGGCTGCTGAACGCACCTGTGTCAAATCTGGCCTAACGGTTCACCGACAAATCTGGCTGGACCTCCTCAAAATTTACCGCTCCACTCTAGCCTCGGCCAAGTCGTCCTTCTACTCCAGGATAATCCTGGAGGCGAAGAACAACCCCAGGCTACTGTTTTCCACCACATCCCGACTCCTCCGTCCCCCCCGCCACCCCGCGCAGGTCATCTCCTCCAACCTTCACTGCGAGGAGATGCTGGATTTCCTTGAATCCAAGATCAAGGGAATCCGCTCCGCGGTCACTTCCCCTCCAACTTCCACCCACCACCCACCCCTTCCCTCCCACACTCCGACTCCTACCCATCCTCCCCTACACACCTTCGTACCCGTTTCCCCACCCTCTGTCACTGAACTCATCCTATCCCTAAAACCAACCACCTGCTCCCTTGACCCCATCCCCACTCCACTCCTTATCTCCCAGCTCCATTTTCTTGCCCCACACATCACTGACATCATAAACCTGTCCCTCTCCTCTGGCTCTGTCCCCATTCCATTAAAAACTGCCATCATCACGCCCACCCTGAAAAAACCCTCCCTTGATGCGTCGCAGCTATCAAGCTACCGGCCCATCTCCAACCTCCCCTTTCTCTCCAAGGTCTTGGAAAGAGTTGTCGCCTCCCAACTGCGCTCTTTCCTCTCCACCCATTCTCTTTTTGAACCCCTTCAGTCAGGTTTCCGTGCTGCTCATAGCACAGAAACTGCCCTGGTCAAGGTCACCAATGATATCCTGACTATCTGTGACCAGGGCTCCCTCTGTCTCCTCGTCCTCCTCGACCTATCGGCAGCATTCGATACGGTCGACCACGCTATCCTACTCCACCGCTTGTCCTCCCACCTCAACCTTCAAGGCACTGTCCTTGAATGGTTTAGCTCTTACCTTTCCCACCGTCTTCACTTCGTCTCAACGAATGGCTTCTCCTCCACCCCCCGTACTGTCTCATGTGGTGTCCCTCAGGGCTCTGTCCTCGGTCCCCTCCTCTTCACCCTCTATATGCTCCCCCTCGGTGACATCATCCGCAAACATGGGGTTAACTTCCACATGTATGCGGATGACACCCAACTCTACCTTTCCTCCTCTACTCTCAACTCCACGACCACCGATGTCCTGACAGCCTGCCTGTCCGACATCGAGTCCTGGACGAGAGACAACTTTCTTCAGCTCAACGTGCGAAAAACCGAGGCCCTCCTGATTGGCTCACGTCAGCGCCTCCGCACCTCAGGCGCTGACACCATCAGCATCCAAGGCTGCACTCTCCACCTCTCAAAGCCAGTCAGGAACCTCGGCGTTTTGTTCGACCCTGAGCTGTCCTTTCTCCCTCACATCCGCACCACAACTGGCACCGCCTTCCATCACCTCCGGAATATCGCCAGATTACGGCACTACCTCACCCCTCACGCTGCTGAAACCCTGGTTCACGCCTTTGTCACCTCAAGGCTGGACTATGGGAACTCTCTCCTCGCCGGCCTTCCCGCCACCTCCCTCCACAAGCTGCAGGTCATTCAGAACTCTGCAGCTCGTGTACTGTCCCGCACCAGGCTTCGGGACCACATCACTCCTACCCTCGCTCGCCTCCACTGGCTCCCCATCCCCAGAGGATTGATTTCAAGATCCTCATCCTCACCTACAAGGCCATTCACGGCCTCGCTCCCTCCTACCTCTCCAACCTACTATCCCCCTACCTACCTGCCCGTACCCTCCGTTCCTCTGGCTCCGGTCTGCTCCACGTCCCCCGCCCCAACCGCCCTACTATCGGTGGTCGGGCCTTCAGCCTCTCAGCCCCGAGGCTCTGGAACTCCATCCCCCAGTGCCTTCGCCTTGCTTCCTCCCTTTCCTCCTTCAAGGCCGGTCTCAAAACCTTTCTCTTTGACCGAGCCTTCAGCTCCCCTCTCGACTCTCTTCCTCCTCCTCGCTCCCTCCCTTCCCTCCCCTCACCCTGACCATTTCCCCCCTCCTCTCTCCCTCCCTTCCCTCCCCTCACCCTGACCATTTCCCCCCTGCTCGGGTCATGACCCAACTGTGCAGCGCCTTGGGACGTCCTCCTGACGTGAAAGGCGCTCTATAAATGGAATCTTGTTGTTGTTGTTGTTGTAATGAAGCGCCCCCCAGCTCTGCTCAGAGGGTCAGCCTTGACTATGACTAATGAGTTCAAAGTTACTACGTGGATCTTGATCCCACAACCTTCTGACTCAGAGGCGAGAACGTTACCAACTAAGCCAGTCTGACATTTATTTTACTTTCTACAGCAATACTTCCTCTGGAGGCTGGGTTGAAACACACCTCTTGACAGGGTGGGTGGTAAAGTATTATTTCTGGAGCACTACCACCACATTCACATTACAATTTCCTCATCAACATTTCCAACATGCAGAGGCAACTATCGTCATGGTAATTATCTCAAGCAGTTCTCAAGCTCTGAATACAAAGGTCCATTTGTAGTGGGTTATGTACTTAGTCAGCTAACTGATATGTCAAATACCAGAAGTTTGTGCCAAAGTCTGAAAGGCTGAGAAACACAAAATATTTCAATCTCTGATAAACTGCTTCTAAATTTGAACAGTACAAGAATGCCCTTCATGCATAGTTCCTCTGGGGCTGAAATCTAGATAAGCAAGTCCAGGTGGGAAAACTTCTATTTTTTATAAAAACATAACGCAGAAGAATGGAAAGAGTATTGGTTTCCCAATTCTTACTGGTATGTTTGTCTCCCTCTTTCTCTACCCTTCAGTTTTACCGTATATTACAACACAAACTCGATTTCAAGATCCTCATCCTCACCTACAAGGCCATTCACGGCCTTGCTCCCTCCTACCTCTCTGACCTACTATCCCCCTACCTACCTGCCCGTACCCTCCGTTCCTCTGGCTCCGGTCTGCTCCACGTCCCCCGCCCCAATCGCCCTACCATCGGTGGTCGGGCTTTCAGCCTCTCAGCCCCTAGGCTCTGGAACTCCATCCCCCAGTGCCTTCGCCGCCTCCTCCCTTTCCTCCTTCAAGGCCGGTCTCAAAACCTTTCTCTTTGACCGAGCCTTCAGCTCCCCTCTTGACTCTCTTCCCCCTCCTCGCTCCCTCCCTTCCCTCCCCTCACCCTGACCATTTCCCCCCTCCTCGCTCCCTCCCTTCCCTCCCCTCACCCTGACCATTTCCCCCCCTGCTCGGGTCATGACCCAACTGTGCAGCGCCTTGGGACGTCCTCCTGACGTGAAAGGCGCTTTATAAATGGAATCTTGTTGCTGTTGTTGTTGATTCACTCCAGATATATGCCAACCTATTAATTTCATTTAAATCTAACACCCCACTCAGGCTCCCAGTCAGTTTTGTGGGATCCTTTGGTGCCTCATGCCTACAATTGGCATGAGGCACTAAAGGATAATGCACTTTACTTTGAAAGGTTCTATATAAATGTAAATTGTTGTGTACAGGTTTGAGGTAGTTTCTTCTAACCCACATACCTCGCTGTAGAAATACTGCAGGACCCGAGGGCAGTACCTACCAACCCACAGAAATCTAAAGTGAATTTGGTCAGTATTTAACCACAAAGAGATTAGGCAGGCACAGCGATCAAAGTGCAAATGTGGGCAGATCACAAATGGCGGTACCAGTTTCAGAGGCAGCTCCATTGTTGACCAGGTGGTCTTAAAATAACCATTTCACCGAGTCTCCTCCACCAGTGAGGTGGGTTATAGTGCAGACTCCCCGTATCGTGGAAGCATAGAGGCCAGGGGAGGGTAGTGGTTTTCAATATGATGCAGAATAACAAAGTGCAAGCATCTATTGGCAAAATAAAGCAGAATAAGTCATCACTTCAGTCTTTCAAAAAAGATGACTTAACAGTAGTGCCAGAAACAATACTGTAGCAATTAGAAAATGTTCACCATCATGAAATTACATTTTGAAAGTACTGTGAAAGAATACTGCAACATCTCAAATGAAATGCTTTAACAACTATCCTGGGTCTCCTGCCACAGAGTGCCAGAGAACCCATCTCAATCAAAGACACCTGCCTTTATCTGTGGAGTGCAGAAGTAAAGGTCTACCTGAAGATCGTATCAGCTGGGGTTTTTACACAGACTTGATTATCTGCCAATGTATTTGGGGCAGATATTTAAAGTTCTTCTACCTTACAGAAGAAAATTGCTATTATTATTAGTCAGAACCATTGCCAAAGCAGATGTTTTAAGCAAAACCATGAGGTCAATTCCAATAACATGATGAATTGGGAAAATCTGCTCACAGCTCTCACTCAAAACAACAACAAGATTACAGTTGTATAGCACCTTTCACGTCGGGAGGACGTCCCAAGGGGCTCAAAAACCTCTAATGAGGTGCCCCCCTTCCTGTGAAGCTAACGTTTCCAAAATCATTATACAGGCGTTAATCATGTGTAAATTCATGAGCTCCCACACAGAACAGCTGTGCACAGGCTGCCTTGGATTGACATCGAAAAAACACAAGAGAATGCAGACATTGTGGGAAGGCCACAGCTATCACGTCTACATCACTAGGACAATGTCACTGTGAAAGCCGAACCAGCAAAATCTTTTCAGGATTAATCACATTATTGTGTTTCCTAATGAAGAATCCAAAGCCCTGAGAGCTCATTGGTTGAGCACACCCTGCCTTGAGGCATTGGACTACAGGAGTCAAAGTTTGAACTGCTGGGTCTGATTCCTGACATGGCACAATTTGATTTCAGGGAAGGGATGCAGTATTCTACAATTGGCATGAGGCACCAAAGGAAAATGTAGTTGAACACAAGGCCATACAGACCAGAATGTCACAGGTTTGAATCTCAATCTGTACTGAGTAAGCATCGCAGGCTGACATAATATGGTATAAAACAATAAATGGTCACATCAATCCATGACTGTTTGTAGGACACTGCTGTGAGCAATTGGCTGCTGTGTTTCTCCCACAAATATACAGTCAATTAACTTTACAGTATATTCTGTGAAGCGCTTTGAAACGTCTAGAAGATGTGAAAAGCGCTATATGAAATGCTAGGATTATTATTATTTCACTGGCTCTATGCAGCTAGCTGTAGGCTGGACAGCCCCAAAACAAAAACACACTGTATAGGTTTATGGAAAGGGAATGTAATGGACAGTTGGAATGATGGGCAAATAATTGTTGGGAATGCACACACATCATAGCACTACTTACGGTAAAAGAAGGGAATGAACTCCACAGTCAGGGAAGCTGCCTTGTACTTCTGTCTGCTCTTCTCCACCACACTGGCTACCTCACTGCAGGGCAGAAAGAATTAAACAGTAAGCAACAAACCCAAAAGAACCACTCCTTATCTTTTGGAGTCCTGTAGCTCAGTGGTTAGAGCACTCGCTTTGCAAGTGAGAGACCTGCGTTCAATTCCAGAGAGGGCGAAACCTTGGGCAAGTTTCTTTACTCCACACAGAGCCTAATAATAATCCCTCCAAAACCAAAAACAATAATAAATTGGTCATTTTCAATCTACGACTGTTTGTGGGACATTGCTGTGCGCAATTGGCTGCCGCGTTCGCCCACAAATATACAGTCAATTCACTTTACAGTGTGTTCTGTGAAGCGCTTTGGGACGTCCTCCCGACGTGAAATGCAAGGATTATTATTATTATTATTATTATCTTAATACAGCCTCGGCTAAGGAAACATAGAGGCATCCAAGAGGGAAAGAGCATCCTTTTTGCATCTCAGGTTGACAAAATATGGGATTTCACTGGCTCCATGCAGGCAGCTATCAAAATGAAACGTATCGCTTAGATTTCTGGAGAAAGTGAGTAAATCAGTCATCTTACCCAAAGCAACAATACGACCTGTGTAAGAGTCCCTAAAAAACTAAAATCCGCAAGGTCCGCACACCTGAGATCTGGTGTAGGACTGAGCTCAGTTGCGACACGCTATGAACTGCATTGTAATTGATGCTGCTATCCATGGAGCTGTACCTGAGTCTTTTTCAGATTGTTAGTGATTTATTATGTATTTCAAATATAATAATAATAATCCTTGCATTTGTTATAGTGCCTTATCAAGCTCAAAGCATTTCACAGTGTGAATTGAATATATATTTTGAGGGTGAACTATTCAGAGGAATATTACACATCCCCTAAGAACAGGTTTGCAACTGCCCAAAATCTTTTCACCTGGGACAGACTTATCTCACCTCTCTGGGAGATTCAAACCCAGGAATGACAAGATTCTGACCCATCAAAACAGCCACTCTCCAATTTATGTTAACTCTACCAGAGTACAGTCCATTAAACTTCAATAAATCACATGATTATAGTCTGTAAAAAGTATCTTGATACCAGCAGGACATAAGTTAGTTTATTATTTAATAATGACACTCACTAAAAGAAAAGCTCTTGAGCTCTGTATTTTGGGAAATAATTGAAGGCTATTTTCTCACATTTAATGGTTCTTTAGTCAGACAGTGTATGGCTCCACAGGTAGAATAAAATACTTCACCATATGTGTATTAGCCACAAGCAACAGTTTCTAGACTCAGCCCTTTTGGCGCATGATAGTATTTAAACACAGAAGGGGACAGATGATTGGACCTGTGCCATACAATGGGCTCCAAGACTAAGTACTAAACTTTCCTTGTAAAAGGACAAGAACAGCATTTCCCTGGTGTAGATAATTAGGTGCAAATTTTATTGAAAAACACAATGTATGAATGTTATCGAATCCAAAATCAAGTTCAGCCACTTCTGCCCCGTCCACCGCCATCACCTTTCCCTCATGACCCAGCACCCACCCATCTCCCCCACCCATCCACCCTATACTCCTTCAACCCGATCTCTCTCTCCCCCACTACCTGCTCCCTCGATCCCATCCCCACCTCTCTCCTCATCTCCCAGCTCCACCTTCTGGCCCCTCTCCTGTCCAATGTCATCAACCGTTCAGTTTCCACACCCCTAAAAACAGACGTCATCACCCCCATCCTGAAAAACCTTCCCTGGACCCATCCCTCCTCTCCAGCTACCGTCCCATCTCTAACCTCCCATTTCTCTCCAAGGTCCTGGAACGAGTCGTCGCGTCCCAGCTCTGCTTTCTTTCTTGTCATTCCCTCTTTGAACCCCTCCAATCCGGCTTCCACGCTGCCCACAGCATGGAAACAATCCTGGTCAAAGTCTCTAATGACATTCTGAACATCAGTGATCAGGGCTCCCTCTGCCTCCTTGTCCTCCTCAACCTCTCTGCCGCCTTCCTCACTGTCAACCACTCCATCCTCATACACTGCCTCTGCTCTTTACTTAATCTTCGCGGCCCTGTCCTTGCCTGGTTCTCTCTCACCGTCTCCACTTTGCTGCCTCTAATGATTTCTCCTCCAGCCCCCGCACTGCACATCTGGGGTAGTAGTAGTAGTCTTGAAACAAAGTGACAACTGGCACTGAGACACGATTAGAGACCACAGAAATCTGCCTTTTAGATCATAGAATCATACAGCACAGAAGGAGGCCATTCGGCCCATTGTGTGTGTCGGCTCTATTAGAAGAGCTATCCAAATCAATCCCACTCCTCTGCTCTCTCCCCATAGCCCTGCAAACTTGTACTCCCCAATGAAGATGTTACAAAAATTCAGTGCAAACTCTTCCTCGTTGAAAGACCAGGTAAAACAGAAATGTAAGAAATCAAAACATATAGGCAGCCGCAATGGATAAAATGGACAAAGCTGCAGCATATGGACCAGGAATATGCCATATTGAGTTTGCTGGTTTCAGCTGAGACCTCAAGGGGAGGCTAAATTTGTCCCCTACCTTTCCAACATAAGCGTTCTTGTTCCTTATACTGATTGGACACCTGTGAGGTCGCCAGGCCAGGAGAGGCCAGACTCAGCTCCCGACAGTTGATGGCTTGCCAAGATTTTGGTGGCTTGCCAAGATTCACACACAATGGTCACTGGGGCGGAGTACGAGAGGGCAACTAGCTCTCAGGAATGTGAAGGGTGGGGACAAGGAGGGAGAAAACTAGAACCAAAAAAGGATAAAACACGTGATAGATTGGAAACTCTGCCACTACTGATTCTGATACCTAAAAGCTGATCCATTTGCGCTATATAATTCTATCTCTTGCTTTTACATTGCTAATTCAACAACTGTTTGCCCTACATCCAGCAAGTTTATATCACCTCTGCACTGCCAGTGGGAACTTGCAGCAAATTGAACTTTTGTGAAAGCGTAAACTTCTGACATCAATGCATAAATAACGTGATGTCAAGACACCATTGCACAAAACTATTCAATATTTATTTTTACAGTAACATTATTTCATCTGTAGCAGCCTAGTTCAGTTGGTAGCACTTTTGCCTCTGTCAGAAGGTTGTGGATTCAAGCCCAACATCAGTACTTCAAGCTCACGGTCTAGGCTGACACTCCAATGCTGTGCTGGGGATGTGCGGCATTGCTGGATGAAACAGTATAGACATTAAACTGAGGTTCTGTCTGCTTGTTCAGGTAGATCCCGTGGCACCATTTAAAATGATAGAGGAGTTTCTCCTCGTGTCCTAAAAGCACTTCTCCAGATAAAATTGTCATTCACTTCCAGGTTGTTTGTGGGACATTGCTGGGTGCAGGTTTGTGAACAGACCTCGTTCTTCTACAAATTCAGGCACGCCAAAGTGAATCCTGTGAAGTGTTTTGATGTGTCTACCCAATGTGAAAGGCACTATTATAATTTAAGATGCACCTGAATATCAGGCAGTTTGATCCCAGCCTTTTTGTAGTTCTGCTATAGTTAGTTAGCATGCCTTTGAGGCAAACTCATAAAATAAAATCAGCATCAGTGCTTTTTCTGAAAGAAAACCTGGACAGATTGAGCAAATAGAACCATGGGGTTACCAGCTCATGGGTTTACTTTTGCCTTACTTCAAAACAAAAATGTATCCACACAGATTAAAGCTTTGAGTATCCGCAATCTCATACAGATAGGACTTCAATTACAAGTACAGCCGTGTGTGATTGGATTTGGGTCAAGATCATGAGCCACACATTGACCCTCCAGACATGCAGGTGCTTCAAATTCAAAGTCTGACGGCAACTTGAACTTGTTAGGGCCCTTAATTAGGGTGATTATCTCAAGCACAATGAATAGGGCAAATTCTTAACCACAGAAATCTTATAATTTGACAATGAATGGCACACGTAATTGGGGGATTATACCATCTCAAAATAAATAGGAAGCAACATACAATTACATTCTTCAGTAGGGAAGATGCCAGAAAACAATGTTTTTTTTTCCCCATCCCTTTAACAGCTACAGAAGTCAAACAGCTTGCAATAGACAAAATAATGCCTGACAAAAAAATCACATTACTGCCCAAGACGATCAAATTTGGTACATATATATTTTCATCCGGAACAAAATTACTATAATTTTCAAACCATCACTTCCATGCCTTTCACAGCCAAAAGGCAATAATTGGGATTTCCGCAACCCGATCAGATAATTATAAGGAAAGAATTGGTATTTTCATTTCACAATATGAATATTTAGAATAGTTAGCGTATGAAAGAAATCTATTTTTCAGCAATTTGCTGTAAGACAATTACAAATAACTTGCTCTTATGAACAAGAAATCTTCAACATGTGAGAGATTTAGTAGGGAAATAGAGTAGATAATTCCAAAGCAAGAATATTAAGCGTTATAGAAAATGGAGCCCAAATACAAATAAAGGATCTGTCATGTGTCAATAAAATGATAGAACAGGCTTGATCGACTGAATGGTCTTCTGTTCCTCATTTCAAAACTGACTGCTGCCATCCATTCTATAGTATTTATTATATTTTGTCCCAGAGAACATTAAGCATTTAGTTGAGAGTTTGGCAGAATGAGGCCTAATCTGGATTAATCTGCATCACTCGTTGAGGTCATTCAACCAGTCACAAGTCTTAAGCGTAAGAGTGTTGCAGAGACATTTCATGATCTACGAGCCCTACCCCAGAGCACAAAATAGCATCTCAGAGCACCGAGAATTGAGCAGAGATAGGATTAGCCTTCACACTTCCCCCCAGTAATTCTAACATTGATGACAATTTTTCTGTTTTTTTGGTACAGTGGTTTTGACACAGACATCCCATCCATTTTTGTTTTTTTCTCTTTAGATAAAGTGGAAGAACAATTTCTACTTATCTCGATTCACTCACCCAGCTGCTCGCTGTCTCCAGTTTCGATATGGGTCATAAAGGCTCTCGCAGAAGGTAAGAGCATGTCTTGCAAAATCTTCAGCTGATGTTTGGTCTGCCATTTCTTTTTCTTTCGTCTTGCTCTTCAACTTATTAAAAAGACAATGTCAAAACAGATTTACAAAATAACATTTAGTCACGGTTACTAATTTATTACTTGTTAGTTTTCAAACAAACATAATTAATAATTGTCTGATTATCAGTTAAACCAACAACAAAAACAAAATTATATTTGTATAGCACCTTTCACGTCAGGAGGACTTCCCAAGGCGCTGGACAATCAGTGTTTCGGATCCAAGCTGGGGGTCGCGATCAGGGTGGGTGGAGGGCAGGGGTGGGGAAGGAGGGTGATCGAAGGCACAGTTGAAGAGGAGGATCTTGAGATGGGTCTTGAAGGAGGTAAGGGAGGGGGCAAGGCGGAGGGAATGCAAGATGGAGTTTCAGAGGGTTAGGGTTAGGCAGAGTGGCTGAAGGACCGCCCACCAATGGTAGGACAGGCGACTTAAAGCAGGCCGGAGCCTGGTGTGCGGAGGGAGTGGGCAGGTTGGTAGGGGGTTAGGAGGTTGCAGAGGTAGGGGAGAACAAGGCCATGGAGAGCTTTGAATTTGAGGATCAGGATCTTGAACTTAAATCAGCAAACTAAACATATTTATACTGGATATTCTAGCCGATCAGTCCTTCTGTTCCTCATCTGCTCTCTCTCCTCCTCTAAAATTTATATAAACCTGCGAATAGATAACTACCCCATCACGAGGGATCATGAGGAAGGTGCTCACTGTGAACTGAAAATATTAGAACGCAATGTCTTCTCCCCACCCCTTTCTACTTCCCAAAATATTGTGGTTCCCTTCTAATATATTTATAGATCCTGCTGATCAGAGAGATAATCTAGTGAATTGGGAAATTAGCAGAGAAATGGCTAATCCCTTACCAATTTCAACACTCATTTAGAGTGAGTTGATCTCATATAATCAAACATCCGATGACTCCAGCTAGAATTCTGTGTGTTCTGTTAGGCTAAGCACGTTTCATAGATCCTATTGTCATTATCTTTCCCTTTAGCAACTGGAGGTCTGTAGCACATTTGTAAAATAAATAGCTAGCCCCAAACAGAAGCTACTTAACAGAGTGGCAGCAACTTTCTCATTGATTGGGGGAAGGACAGTAAACACAAAACTGCTTTGCTATTCCATATATGGTAGATATGAGCACAATGACCACTTAGCCTGTCTGCAGCCAAAACATATAGCGCCCCTCCCCATTGAAATTCAACAGGAAGATAGAGGTAACAGCCTCAAGAAAACCAAATTCAAAAATATTGATATCTTCTTGTTTGGCAATGCTTTTTGAGGACATCAGGTTTGAAAAAACTACCTGTACTCACAAGTGAATTAATCTTCTATCATCTTAGCAGATCTACCAGTTTTACATCTTTCTCCCCAGGTTTTCATCTCTATTTTGAGAATTTTATTATAGTGCTAAACAGACAGAATTGTTTTAACAAATCTCCTGAAATTAATTCCAAAATAATCAGAGAAGTTATTGAGCTAAATCTTTGTCTGTGTGCACACAGCATTTCATTGTTGTGTCTGAATGGAGGTGCTTATAAAGAATTAATAAGTACAAAGGGCTGCAAAGCAAGTCTTTTGTCATCACCTACTTGCTGAATGTAGACTGTTGTCATAGTAATAACATGATTAATGTAGGAGCATGTTCCAATCTCCTCAACGTTAGCCAGATTCCTGTTGGAAAGGAAAACATGAATTTATAAATTTAACTTGGAAATTAAATCAGTGAAAAACGGCCATGACTAGCAAGAATGTAGCCTTAAAATGTAAACATGCAACACTTTTCATTTCCCTAAAGGAACAAGGAATTACCTCTTATGATGTTCAACCCTAAGGATGTTAAGAATGTCTTTCTTTTTGTGGTAATTGAAAAGTCTACATACTACTTTCTGCACTTCACAATAGTTATTGTACCTGCAAATGATGATGAGAAATTTGACGAGAATCAGTGCCAGGGTCTGTTGTTCCTCCTCAAGCCCATCCGACAGCTTCTGCATACACTGCACAAGCTGCTGCCTCAGGATCTGCAGAATGTTATCAGGCAGCAAGGACAGGCCTGGCGGGACTTCATCCAATCTAAGAGAGGATCAAGCAGAAAGACATTTAGATACCTCTATAAATACATATTACTGGAAAGTACTACATCAAGCCTAGCGCTTGAACTTTCCACTGCCCCTCCCATAAGACCACCGAAATCCGCACACGAGCTGGTGGTTGGAGCCAGAAGAGGTGGAGGGCGGGTGGGATAGGAGGGTGACCAAAGGCACGGTCAAAGAGGAGAATCTTGAAACAGGTCATGAAGGAGGCAAGGGAAGGGGTGAGGTGGAGGGACTGGGAGGATGAAGTTCCAGAGGATGAGGGCAGAGAGGCTGAAGGTCCATCTGCCAATAGTGGGGCGGAGGATGTAAAGCAGGCCAGAGACCACTAAGCGGAGGGAGCAGACAGGTTGGTAGAGGGTTAGGAGGTCACAGAGGTTGGGAGGAGAAAGGCCATGGAGGACCAGGATCTTGAACCGTATCCTCTGCATGATGGGAAGCCAATGGAGCTGGGAGAGGATGGGGGTGATAGGGTCATGGATCCTGTTGCGGGAGAGGACACAAGCTGCAGAGTTCTGGATGATCCCCGGGCTGCAAAGTTAAAGTACTCCAGGATGCTACCCTGCATGAAGGACGCTACATAAATGCAAGCTGTTGTTGTTATTATTACATCTCGGCTCGACTATGCCAACTCCTTGCTTGTTAGCCATCCCAACTCTTCCCTCCACAAGCTGCAGATCATCCAGAACACTGCAGCTTGTCCCCCCCACTATCAGACTCCGTGACCCCATCAACCCCACCCTCGCTCGGCTCCATTGGCTACCCATCCCCCAGAGGATACAGTTCAAAATCTTCATCTTCAAAGTCCTCCACGGCCTTGCTCCTTCCTACTTCTGTGACCTGCTAACACCATATCAACCTGTCTGCTTCCTCTGCTCAGCAGGTTCCACATCCCCTGCCTGGTCTGCCCCACTATCGGCGGTCACGCCTTCAACTTCTCTGCCCACACCCGTTGAAACTCTATCTCACAGTCCCTTCGCCTTGCTCCCTCCTTTGCCTCCTTCATCTCCTCTTCGACCGCGCTTTGGGCCACCCTCCTACCCCTAACCCTATCTGCCCTCCATCCAGAGGGATTGAGGGTGAGAGTTCCAGAGCATAGCAGCTGAAGGCTGGAGCCAGCCGAGTGGAGGCAGCAGGTGGTGGAGTGGGGAGTAAGCAAATCGGACAGGTAGGGAGGGATTTGAAAACGAGTGCGAGGATCTTGAAATCGATCCATTCACTATTTGAGAGCCAGTGGAGCCTGGCAAGGATTCATGTGATGAGGGTACCGAGTTTTGAATGGGTGCCTATTCGGGCGGCGGAGTTTTGAATTAGTTCAATTTTGTGTACGGTGGAGCTGGGGAGACCAGCGGGGAGGGCATTGGAATAGTCCAGATGGGAAGTGACAAAAGCATGGACGAGGGTTCCCGCTGCTTTGGTTGTGAGGTACAAACAGGGGGGGGCAATGTGACAAGAGATGGAACAAAGTAGTCCTGGTCAGGGAACAGATGTGGGGTAGAAAGTAAAGCTGGGGATCAAACCTGACGCGTAAGTTGCGCACGGGTTCAGTGAATATGAGGGAGAGCCCGGGGAGGTTGAGCAGTTCAGACCTCAAAAAGAAAGCAAGACCTAGTAAGGAGAGGACAGTCTCTTTTTCTGCATTGGGTTCCTCCAAAAGATTAAAGGCCTCCTTAAGATTAAAGAGCTATTTTGGCGTAGGCCTTAAGTTAGGAAAGCAGTATTGAAAGCAGCCAGTGGAATGGACTTCCCAGGCTCAAATGATACTGCAGAATAAAAACAATAAAAATACTGGCTTTATAGGGCAATTATTTTGCTCGAACGATTCAGGGCTCAATTCTGAACCAAAAAGCTTAGGAGATTTAAGTCCTGTCACTGTGTTTGCTTGCCTCAGTTGGAGATTCAAACCAACAAAGTAGAAATGAGGCAGGAATATGGCAGCCCCAACTATGTTTACCTATTCTTTCCAAAGCTGAACAAAGCCATTATTCATTGTACAAATAAAAAGAACTTTGTATGGAACTCAGATTACCTTTAATTGCATTTTCCTTAACGTATCAGCTTTCTTGAAATGCACATCCTCACATCAATCTATCCAAACCCTTTCATGAACTCAAACACCTGGACCTATACAGCAACGACCAGACAGTCCAACTCAGGGGATTGGGGAAAGGGAAATTAACCAGGTCAGAGAGAGAATCGGGTTTAGTATCATCTTAAAATTAAATTCTTACAAACAAAATGAACCTGCCATTTTTTGACTTTCAATCCAGCTTTATTTGGGGAAATGCTGGGGATATTCAACATGTGGAGAGACACTGGTGCATCATATGGTAATCTCCGTACTACAAATCAATAGTTCTCTCATCCCCACCTCTGGCTGAATCCCAGCATCCTGATCAATTAACATTTTGGCTCATCTTGCAAAAGCAAGTCCCAGTACACAAAGGACAATTTGAGTGAAGGCGAAAACATTTCAACTGATTCCAGAGTTGCTTCTTGGTCTGGCTGACACTTATTAACATTTGCCTGTAGAAATGTAAATCTCTTTATATCCTTAAATCTTTACAGTGGAGGCAACTGGGTGCCAAGGTTCCCACAATAGAATTACTGAAACAGTGTTGTAATGCCAATCACGCTGCAACAACAGTTTATTTTACAGCCTGTCATGAGATTATAGTTTCCTCCAGATTGCATACACTGTTAGGTGAGAGTTGCCGCCAGTTAGTGTGAAACTATCTGCATCACAATTAGATGCTGCACAATGAGATGAACCTAAACATTGCTCAGACCACATTTAAAAAAACGCACACTCTTCATGTCTCATTAATAACTTGCAAATCTATTGGTAGTTGCAGCTCTTACCTTTTCTTATTTCTTGTTTGTCCTCCCCCACATTCAAGCCATGACCCGCTCTGCCTTCCCTTACCTCCGTAACATCGCCTGACTCCGCCACCACCTCACCCCTCAGGCCGCTGAAACTCTTGTTCATGCCTTCATCACCTCCAGGCTCGACTATGCAAACGCCCTGCTTGTCGGCCTTCCCAACTCCTCCCTCCACAGGCTGCAGATAATCCAGAACTCTGCAGCCCGTGTCCTCTCCCGCACCAAACTCCGTGACCCCATCTCCCCCACTTCATTGGCTCCCTATCCTTCAGAGGATCCAATTCAAGATCCTGGTCCTCACGTACAAAGCCCTCCATGGCCTCGCCCACCCTATCTCTGTGGCCTCCTAATCCCCTACCAACCCGCCCGCTCCCTCCACTCAGCCGGCTCTGGCCTGCTCCATGTCCCCCGACCCACCTGCCCCACCAATGGCGGGAGAGCCTTCAGCCACTCTGTCCCCAACCTCTGGAATTCCATCTCCCAGTCACTCCACCTCGCCCTCTCCTTAGCCTCCTTCAAGTCCCGCTTCAAGACCCTCCTCTTTGACCATGCCACCGGCAACCCCCGCTTCCCCTCCCCCCCCAACCCCAGCTCAGCTCTGAAATGCTGTACTCTGTCCAGCGCCTTGGGACGACCTCCCGACGTGAAAGGCGCAATACCAATGTAATCTTCTTGTTGTTGCTGTTGTTGTTCCCTCTTGGTGACATCATCTGCAGACATGGGGTTACCTTCCACATGTATGCGGATGACACCCAACTCTACCTCTTTACCTTCACCCTCAACTCCAGGACCACTGCTCTCCTGACAGAATGCCTATCAGACATCAAGTCCTGGATGAGAGCTAACTTTCTATAGCTGTACATCAAAGACAGAGGCCCTCTTGATTGGCTCCCGTCAGCGCTTCCACATCTCAAGTACTGACAGCATCACCATTCAAGGACGCACACTCCACCTCACTGAGCCAGTCCTTGGCATCTTGGTTGACCCTTAACTGTCCTTTCTACCCCACATCCATACCATCACCCACTCTGCCTTCCCCCACTTCCGCAACATCGCCCGGCTACACCACTGTCTCACGCCGCAGTCCGCCAAGACCCTCATATACGCATTCAAAACATCCAGGCTCGATTATGCAAACTTCCTGCTTGTCGGCCTCCCTGACTCCTCCCTCTATAGGTTGCAAATCATCCAGAACATACAGCCCATGTCCTCTTTCGCAACAGGCTCCGTGACCCCATCCTCGCCCGACTCTACTGCTTTCCATCACACAGAGGATACAATTCAAGATCCTGGTCCACCCTTTCAAAGTCCTCCCATGGCCTCACTCCCACCTACCTCTGCGATCTCCTAACCCCCCTACTGCCCTCACTCTCCCCCCAAAAATGTTCCTGCCTTTTAACATACTTGTGTATTTTGTGCTAAGAATAAGAGATCTGAAGACTATTATATCATGGTTTAATTGGGGGGAACTACATTGCCTGGAATATCCAGACTTGAATTTGGGTTATAAGTTGTTTGAGCTTTGCTCTTGCAGTCTGTTGCATCATCTGAATTGTTTCAGTCAGGCCACTCTTGTGTACAGTACCTCCCAGCACTAGGCTTCAAGCCAGCTGCTGCTCTGTTCTGAATCCACCGCCAGCTGGTTGGGAGGCAAGAATTTTATCAGGCTGACTTTGAATTAAAGACTACTGTGCATTACTTTAAGTAGTATGTAATTTCATTGACAGCTGAAGATATATTTTTATGCCAATCAGTTGTGGAGAGTGTGGTGATAGGTGGGTCCAATTCAGCAGCTGGAATGCGATATAGATAGGGATAAAAAGCAAAACCACAATGCTGGAAATCTGAAATAATCGATTGCTTGAAAGCCAATCCTTTCCTTATGCTTATTATTTAAATACTTCCTGTTTATACTTCTTGTGGTCTACAACCCCAACTTTGAGAGGCAAAGTCACCACAGCTTCTGAGAAGTCTGGTTGTTACAATAGTGTTACATGCAACAATTACCTTTTCACCTCATCCAATACCTTCTGAAAATTCCAATTAATTATTCTTTTGGAAGTCCCTAGGCATACAAGATAATTCTTCAAAAAATATTTTTCCCCCTCCCCAGTTCCAACTGCACAACAGTAACTGTATTCCCACCACAGAATTGGCCTCAATGCACCTGGTTAAGGCTGAAAATCAGCCAGGTTTTCACTCCCAATCTCTATCCAGAGACCCCTGCTGAAGGTGATCAAGTGAGTCAGGATTGAGAGGGGACAGGATCGACCTTGGCTGTAATGGCCCTCACTCACACGGTCAAATCACCTGCTGACAATTCCTGGCAAGGGCTACACAAAGGTTTACATGTCTTAGAAAAGCGGAAAATGGGTGAGAAAAAATAGAAACCCTTTAAAATAATGTGAGCACCCTAATTCAAACTAATCCTATTACTGCTACTTCTTGTAACAGGCATAGCATGATTTCTAATATGCCTGCCTGTAACCACTGGACAACAAATATAAAGCAAAAACAATCAACAGACATCTACAATTTTACAATGCATCTTCAATGTGAAAATCAGCACCAGTTGTCACTCTGCCACAATAAACGATTTGGCAGAGATGTGTTTAATCAGTTTGTTTTCATGAAAGGATTAATATATTTTTCTTAAAATTAATTTTGAAACCCAAATATACCTTGTGGGAGGCTTTTCAAAGTCAACATCCAGAAACTTTTCATATGTGGCGATGAAGCTCTCCAGCCACAACTTAAGATAGTCTGGGTCCTTCTGTAACCAAAAAGAGACAAGCAAGTTATGGTTTTGCTATCAAACAAACTATTTCACATATTATACATATGGGAAAGGAGGATGCAAGTAGCAGACCTGCCTCCAAATCCACATCATCAGGGCTTATGTTTTCTCCAAAATGTTTTGCATGGGATTTGGGAACTTGGTACATGAGCACAATTTTCTTGCTTTCATCCTGTAGTTTCAATTTATTCGGACACATTAGTGCCAAACTCCACAAAATATTAAATTATTCCTAAATTTGCAATCCTATCTCTGGAATGGCCACTACATTTATCAAGCTGAGAAATGCATACAGCACTTGATGCACGGTGATGGTGCACCTTGGAGAGACTCCCATCAAGTCAGAGTTACTCTTACCCTTGTAGCCCTCTTGGACCAAAGCATAATTGTTCTGGTGTGGGATGGTTAGGATGTAGGAAGCAAAGTCCCCCAAACCTCCCATACCAAAACAGTAGCAGAAAGTAGCACATTGTAACTTCTACAAGGGCCGAAAGAATGCCTAAAATCAGCACCGACCAGGAAATAGCAAAACCTGGCAAGAAATATCAGAATAAGTACAAGTACTTGTACTTGCCTGTAAATCACAGATGTGTATATTTGTGTGATTGTAGAACATTTAACAGTACTAGTGAGATTTACTCAAGGGGCATTTGCAGCAAAGGTAAGCAAGCATTGTCCATTTTACTGTCCCACAATGACATCAACTAATATGGATTATCAGCAATATTTCCCCAGATTTCAGAATGTCTTATGTTTTGTTTCTTGGTCCGAGACAGATCGGATTGCAATAAGTATAACCATTACAATATCTGTCAAGGATGATTTGCCACATGAGTACTCTCAGGTCAGCTATTCTAAACACTGAATTAAATCAAAATAATAGACAGAATAAAATTGGTCACCTACTTCATTGCTGTTTATGGGACATTGCTCAGCGTAAATCAGCTGCTACATTTACCTACAAATACAGTCACACACTTCACAGTAAAATCCTGTGAGGCGCTTTGAGACATCTCTTCAACATGATCAGGCACTATATCAAATGCATATTCTTCTTCCTCTTCAGTCGATTTTCTAGTTCTCCAAAGAAATGTCACATTTCCTCATCCAGCGTTTAAATCGCAGTTCTTTCAGACTATTCTGGACCATAGATTTATAGCCAAAATTTAAACCCAGAAAAACAAGTTTGTGTTTTTTGGTTTGCCTTTATTTTTAACTTGCTTATTTCTCTGCTTGCCAATTCAGCATTGTTGACCACCAACACAAAACACCAGCCCCAAACTGTCTGCATTAAGAATATAGGATGAAAAAGGCCATTGATAAGCAAGCCTGATAAGGAACAAGAAAAACAAGTTAGAAGGAAGTGAAGGTGGAGAGAATGTGGCTTGAGAATATTTTAAAAGGCAGGGTAAGAGGTAACAAAGAAAAGTGATTTTGCAAGAGTGGAAAATAATTGCAAGGAAATGTGGTTGAAGCCTTAGCCTCTTGATGGTGGTGTGGAGGAGGATGAACAGTAAACTGGAGTCAGTAGAGCTGAGAGTGCAAACAGGAAGGTGCAACAGTAGATATTGCTCTGATTTGGTGGAGTATGGAATTTAAAAGTGAGAATGTGGATTTTGAAACCAATATGTTAATAAATAAAGTCACCATCTCTAAAGTTCCACATGTACAGCTTCAGTGTGTGAACTGGAAGTCTTGAGATCTGAAGGCAGAACTAGACACCATTTCAGGAACACCAAACTCCGAGAGGAACTCGGTTTGGCAACAAATTAACATTTTTCAATGCTTCCTTTTTGTCCTTTTGACGCAGTCATAGAAATCCTTGGAGAGTTTTGAATTGTTTCAGCTAATCTTGGCAACTGAAGCAGCAACTGAGGTCTGCCAGTTTATCCGGAAGTGAATCTCTTCAACCTTTCACAGTCACCTTTTTTAAAAACTAACTGCTTGTCACCAACACCAGGGAAATTCCGTTCAGGGAAGGTAAAGTTTATCTGAACAAAACTGATGCGCGAAATGTTTGTTGAACTATACAACCAACACCCCTTTCCCCTTTAAGGAACTTAATCTTCTAAGATTTTCAGGTTATTCCCAATGCAAAACAGGTTTTTCAGCTAACTGCAATCCTGATTCTAAACTATTGTTATTTACAATAGCAAAGAATTTGTCATCTAAGCAGTTTAGTTTTGAAAACTTTTTTCACAAATGTTGATTGGTCATTCCATCATAATGAGCATTATAAATTGGTCACTCATTTCATTCTGTCGGACATTGCTGAAGGTAAATTGCCTACAAAATACATGATCAATACACTATGGAAAATCCTATGACGTGCTTTAAGACATCTTTCAGATTTGAAAAGCATGAAATCTACTGCAAGGATTATTATTATCCAAATCACAGCACACCTTCCTGATTGGAATAAAAGGCAGAAGTCTGTCTCACTAACTTGAAGCACAGAGCACAACTGTATGAGATTGACTGTAATGTTCCAACAGTTACATATTTTGGATAGCAACTGTATGATATCAATGAACTGACACTCAAAACCAAAAGTGAGATTTAACTGCTGTTGTTTATAAGAATATTAAAAGCACCAGCTGGTGAGCCACAGTTGGCTGTCACTGCAAGATTATCAGGAGATTTTAGAGGTTGACTGTTCGAATCTAAAGCAGTTATACTGCTCATTTACTATCTTTGACCGGTTAATCCAGTCTGCCTTGGTTGCTACTGCAGGTTATTTTCCCTCTTGCTTGGTTTGCATTCTCTACCATGACAACTCTTCCATTCAATTCTTTTTTTTTTGCAACAGACAGCTAAAAACTATTCCTGAAAACGCTGATTTATGACCAAATCAATGTTAAACCAAAATTCTGAAAACTACCGTAACATATGCAGAAATAAACAATCTGCTTTTGAAAATCAGACTGAACAAACTGTCAACAAGCATGAAAATGTGCTAAATTAGTGATGTGCATAAGAAGATTGGCACAGAAGTGCAGCAAGTGTAGTGAACATCCACACAATAACAAATTAAATTTGTATAGCATTTTTCACATCGGGGGAACGTTCCAAAGCACTAGATAGGCAAGGATTTGCACCTGAGCTGGGGATTTGGATTAGGAGGGGTGGAAGGCGGGGTGGGGGAAGGGGTGACCAAAGGCACAGTCGAAGAGGAAGGTATTCAGATGGGCTTTGAAGGAGGAAAGGGAGGGGGTGAGGTGAAGGGATTGTGGAATGGAGTTCCAAAGGGTGGGGGCAGAAAGGCTGAAGGCCCGACTGCCGATGGTGGGGCAGACAGGACGAGGGGCAGGCCAGAGTCCCCTGAGGAGAGATCGGTAAGGGATTAGCAGGTCACAGATGTAGGAAGCAGCAAGGCACATGGTCCTCTTTCTCCAGTTTCTTCCCCTTCTGTTCTCTCCCCCTTATATGCCTCAAGAGATTCTGTGTAATAGCTTGGCAAAGTCCTCAACATTTCTGCTCTGCCGCTCCTCAAATAGCATGAGCCGCGGTTAAAAACACATTCTGAGACTCTCGCCTCAATCCTGCAATAAAACATCAAGCATCACAGCCATAATCAATCCACCTCTGACCTAACATTGCTCAAGAACAAAATTAACTGCCCTGGAGGACAGCAGGAGGGACCCAGCTATATTGAAATAATTCCTGATTCTGCCTTCCATGGTGTGTGTCCGAATAATCAGCTTCAAAATTCCTCGTACCAAATGGTTAGCATGGAGCCTCCAAATCATCAACAGAAATTACAGCACAGATACAATACAATATTACATTTGTAAAGCGCTTTTCATGTCAGGTGGACGTCCCAAGGCACTCAACAGTTGGGGATTAGGACCCGAGCAGAGGAATTTGAGATCAGGGAGGGTGGAGGACAGAGGGTAGGAGGGTGGCCGAAGGCATAGTCGAAGAGAAGGGACTTGAGGCATGCCTTGAAGGAGGCAAGGGAGAGAGCGAGGCAAAGGGAATTAAGACAGGTCTCCAAGGACCCGAATGCAAGGATTTTATTATTATAGGCAGAGGGACTGTGGGATGGAGTTCCAGAGGGTGGGGGCAGAGAGGAAATACTGTAATTGGTAACTAAGAGGAAAGGGATTTGGAAAAAAGGCAGGGCAATGAGGTTAGGAAATAGAGCTACTATAAACTAATAAAATGGCAGAGGAGGCTGGATCAGCAAAATGGCCTACACATGTTCATATATAACAAGAAGTGAGGTGAGGCACAGATCAAGAGTTCCAAAGATTCCAATGCTGAAAATAAGTAGCGTCTGAAGTCATTAAAGTCAGTAAGTTTCCTTAGGACTGGCTTTGGGGCAGAGGAAAACAGTGAGCCCGACATCATGTTTATCCTGCTTTGAATCAGGTTCAGAGCTACTGCAGGGAACAGGCCTTAAAATTGCCTGGTCCAGAACAACCCACTGGAACCTCTAGGGTTAGTCTTAAAATATTATTTTTAACCAAGAAGATTGAAATATGTACAACAAGCGCAACAAAATAGCCCTAAGAATAAAGGAAATTAAACCTTACAAATGCTTACCATTGTTAAGAGGGAGAAGGAAAGCAAAGCTGCCAAACATATGTTAATGTGTGGAATATGCCATCAAACAGTGTTTCAATGAAGCCACTGGAAGTCATATCTGTCCGTATGTAAGTTTGATTACTTAGTATTATGGTTAGTGAGCCACAAAAGTATTTTGAGCATTAACATTATACTTAAATTTAGCAACACTGCCTCAATCATAATCTTATTTTAGCGAACACATTGCTGTCATTGATTCTATAAGGATCATTCTAAACAATGATGACCATTTAAGTTTGGTTAAGTGCTTACGTATTCGGGCAGAAAATATCTAGTACTACCACTCTTCTTGGTTTTGATCATACCCTGCACTCATCTAGACATAGAATTAACCAGAGACTGCTGGAGATGTGTGTGGAATGTTCACAAAGGATAAAGGTTTAGTT